TCCCCCTCAGGGTTGCTGTAAGGATAAAATCACGTAGTATTTGTAAGGCATTTTGCAAGTAAGGCATTTGTAAGTAATTTGCAAAATGACTTAAAGTGTGATATCATTGCTAACTATTATTGTTGTCATCATCATTTTGTAGGGGAGAGGAAGGAATAACTAACGTACAGTTCAAGTGCTCCATTGGAATGGATGCCATGTCACAGGAGCTGAAGAAAGGTGACCAGCACACAGGGTGAATGTAAGATGGATGAGTTTTGATATGTAGCATGGTTGGGAAAAAACCCATTTTGATGACAGCATAGACACTGCTAGGTATATACCACTGAGATATTGGGGGGTGTGTGTGTTGTCATGTCTGGGATTAAGATTTTTAGGGGAAAATAATTTGACCTGCTGAACGAAACACACATAGTACAATATAAATGTACTATGTAAAATTACCTATAATTGTATACGTGGTACCAATAATTGTTATTCTAACTATGACCACAGGGTGGTGTTCTTGGCATTGTTAAAATAAAAAGCATCCTGAAAGAGAAGAATTTTGGTTCTTAGTCTTTGATTATTACCAGCTGTACTCAGCTATGAGAGGCAGCACAATATGGCAGATAAAGGAAAGAGGGCCTCAGGCAACTCTCTGAGATGTTACTTGCTGAACTTCATTGATGCAAAGACCTTCCACCTCGAAGTTCCCTACATAGATGAAATCTGAGAATCACTAGCTGCTACATATTTCTAAGTGATCTTAATTGATTAAGAAATGTCATTTGGGGACTCAATTTTTTAAAAGTATAGAGTCCCCTCTTTTCAGGTTTCAAAACTCATACTTTTGGAGGAGAAGGAACTCTAGAGACCATCAAATCCAACCTTTTTTTCAGATGAAGAAACTGAGACTGAGAGAGGAATTACAAAGGATCTGAGGCCAGGTGGTCTGACTCCCTCATTTTACAAGGGCCCTACGGAGGTTAAGTGTCTTGCCCGAGGTCACAACGGTAATGTCAGAGGCTGAATTTTAACCAAGGTCATCTGACTCCGGAGCCCATGCTGGGCTATGCCCACCCTACAACTGTGTATGTTGTGGCCTATGAACTTATTTAAGAAATATTTTGATAACTGTACACCAATTTTCCTTTCAAATTTTATTCACTTAAAAATATTATTCTGAGGAGGGTCCTGCCTGTCCTCAAATTGCCAAGAGAATCTATAACATACAAAAGGTTAAGAAGCCCTGGTCTAAATGATCTGTTACTCTGTTGAGAATATTTGGGGCTGAGAATAGGAAGGAAGAAATATGGCAAAGGCCCACCAAAAATGGCAATAGGCCGATGCTGAGGAAAGTCTCCTATAAACACTAGCATCACTGCTTTCTGTAGGTCCATCAGGCTGAACCCTTCACCAAATTTCTGACCTTCTCCTTGACACATAGTGTTTAACCAAGTGTTAGTTATGGAGGCAGCAAAGTACAGTGGAGAGACCACTAGCTTTGGGTTCAAATTCTACCTCTAACATTGGGCAGGTCACTAGTAGCACTTGGCCTCAGTTTTCTTACCTTCAAAATAATAGATTTGGGCTAAATGGCCTGCAATGTCAGCTCTAGATCCATAATGCTATCTTTAAAAAAATATGACCCTCAAACCCTGTGAAATGGATAATCTTTTTCAAGGTTTGGGAATGCAATGATCAGAAGTCACTGAGAAAGGAGCCGGTGGAGGCATGGGATCTATGCTCTCAGTTGTTGTCCTTACCTGGCACAGAGCGGAGGGAATGAAATAAGGAATGGGGAGGGCAGCAGCCCAGGGAAGTCCCAGGGGTCTAACACAGTATGAGTTATTTGCTCAACCCCTCTGAGATTCTCTCCAATTTATCCTGTACAAATATCTTATTTGTGCATCCTGGTTTGCACATTGTCTCCCTCTCATTACACTGTGAGTTCCTTGAGAGCCCGGACTATTTTTTTTTTTTTTGGCCTTTCTTTGTATCAAAGTGCTTAGTGCAGTTGTTTGGCGCATAGGTGCTTAATAAATGCTTATTGACTTGCTTTGACTTGTCCTCTTCACTAGCAGGCCCCAGAGTAAACCCAAATGGCAGTTAAGGCTTGGAATAGAACGGGGAGGGGTAGGGTTTCCTTCTGGCTAATTTTTTTCTTTTTAAAAAGACTCATTATTTATTTATTTTTATCATTCTTTTCTTTTTAAATTTTGAGTTCCCAATTTTCTCCTTCCCAACCACCCTCCCCCACCCACTGAGAAGGCAAGCAAAATGATATCAATTATACAGTGAAAACATGCAAAACACATTTCCATATCACAAAAAAGCAAAAAAAAATTAGGGAAGTGAGAAAATGATACTTCAATGTGCACTCAGAGTTCATCAGTTGTCTCTCTGGAGGTAGACAGCATTTTTTCATCATGAGTCCTCTGGAACTGTCTTACATCATTGTATTGATCAGAGGAGCCAAGTCTTTCACAGCTGATCATCATTACAACATAGCTATTACTGTGCACAATGACCTCCTGGTTCATCTCACTTCTTCCATATACATCTTGCCATGTTTTTCTGAAATCACCCCTCTCATTAATTCTTATAACACAATAGTACTCCATCACAATCATATACTACAACTTGTTTAGCCGTTCCCCAATTGATGAGCATCCCCTTGATTTCTAATTCTTTGCAGCCAAAAAAAAAAGCTTCTATAAATAATCCTTTTCCTTTTTCTTTGATGTCTGGGATATAGATCTAATAGGGGTATTGCTGGGTTAAAAGGTATGCACGGTTTGACTCATACCCTTGCCCTCTATCTATGTAAACTCCTTTTAACTGCCGTAATAATGATAAAGTTCATATGTATCATTCCCCACATTCCTAGCTCCTTTGTCTTCCAGAATATATTCCAAGCCCTCTGATCCTCAATCTTGTGTGATCCTGACAATGGCTCCATAATATTGGAACTGTTTCTTTCTGCCAGGTTGCAATAGTATCTCCTTGACCTAGGAGCTCTGGAATTTGGCTATAATAATCTCGGGAGTTTTCATTTTGGGATCTCTTTCTGGAGGTGATTGGTGGGTTCTTTCAATTTCTATTTTACCCTCTGGATCTAAAATATTAGGGAAGTTTTCCTCGATAACTTCTTGAAATACGATGTCTAGGCTCTTTTTTTTTTTAATCATGGCTTTCAAGTAGTCCAATAATTCTTAAATGATCTCTCCTCAATCTATTTTCCAGGTTAGTTGTTTTTCCGATGAGATACGTCACATTTTTTCCTATTTTTTTTCATTCTTTTGACTTTGTTTCATTGCTTCTTGAAGTCTCATGGAATTGCTTGCTTCCAGGGCCTGCACTTTATCCACTGCATCATCTAGTTGTTCCAATTATTATTATTATTATCAACCAAGGTCACTGAATTAGTAGAGCTAGGAACTGAATCCATGCCCTCTGGCTCTAAATCCACTGCTCATTGCATTGCACCATATTCACATGTGAATGGTCTTCCCTTTTATTTTATTTTTCATATCAAAATATTTATTGCATAATTTTTTGAAGTAATAAAGAATTGTATTCAAAGTAAATGCCCATAGACTGGGGGATGGCAAAATAATTTCTGGTATGTGAATGTAATGGAACATTATTGTGCTGTAAGAAAAAATAACTATAACGAATACAGAGCATGGGAAGGCTCATATGAGCCAACATGAAATGAAGTAAACAGAACCAGGAAAACAAAACACATGTGACTATGATGATATAAATGTGATCTCCCCTTTAAGATGATAAAATTGTGTTTACTAAATGCAGGAAAGGATGCTATGTCTTCTGAACATGAATTTCCTATTGCCAATGAGAGAGATGGCAGAGCGGAGGGAGTAGGAGACCAGCATCTCTTTGTGGTTTTAAAGGGCAAGAAAATGACTTACTTTGGGTAGTGTTTCAATGAAAGAATGAATGTTGGCAGCCTTGGCTGCGTTCACAATCTCTTCCTGTGATACCAGCCGGCTGTTGTTTCCATAGGCGATGTTCTCTGCAATGCTGCAGTCGAACAAGACGGGCTCCTGGGACACGATGCCGAGCTGAGCCCGCAGCCACTGGACATTAAGCTTCTTCACATCTTGGTCGTCAACTTTCTGAAAGCAAAAATCCAATTCATCAACAAGTATTTATTCAGCCCTTACTAAGTACTAGACACTGTGCTAGGCTCTAGGTTTACAAAGATAAAAATGAAACTATTTCTGCCCTCAAGGAGCTTATATTCTACTGAAGGAGATTATATGCATGTAGATGAGTCCTTATAGGCTACATACAATACAAGTACAAAGTAATTTTGGGTGGGAGGGTGAAAAAAATTCAACAGGAAGGGCTTCATGGAGATGAGGTTGCTTGAGCTGAATCCTGAAGGAAACTAGGAATTCCAAGAGATGGATGTGAGGACAGCAAATGTCCAAGCATGGAGGACAGACACTACAAAGGCACAGGGAGAGAAGACAGAGAATCATTTTTGAGGAACTGTAAGAAGGGCAGTGTAGATTGCAGACTGAGAGAAGGGAAGGAACATGTAATTAGCCTGGAAAGTCCAAACACAATTAACTGTGCCTGATATTTTTTTTTTAATTTTCTAAGACTGATAGTTTTATTTTATGCATGGAGTTTTTTTTTTTTTAGGCAATTGGGATTAAGTGACTTGCCCAGGGTCACACAGCTAGTAAGTGTCAAGTGTTTGGTCTGAGGCCAGATTTGAACTCAGGTCCTACTGACTTCAGGGCTGGTTCTCTATCCACTGCACTACCTAGCTTTCCCCTATGCATGGAATTTTTTAGCAATTGCCAGTTTACTACTGTCTGTTGGAATAACAGCATCATTCCTGGTTTCCGGGAGTTGATTGAACAGGGGTCTCACATGCACAGAACTTTGAGAAAATAGTGAGTGTATTTATTGTGCTTTGGCATTGACTCCCCAACTTTGTGGACCATAACACCTGGATGGATACATCATGGTGCCTGGGTTTTCTCATGTCTCATTCAGTATTTTTTGGCTAGGGAAAGGATGGCATCCATGAGTAGCTCATTTGATCTTCATGTCAAATTACATCATATAAAATATCATGTAAATACTATGCATTATGATGACGAGTCTACAAGCCAAGTCAACAAGCATATATTAAGCACCTACTATATGCAAAGCCCTGGGGATAAAAAGCCAAAAATGAAATATACCTTGCTTCCAAATATACCCTATACATGTGTCTTCTCTTACATTTAGCTGGGGAAGCCAACATATACACATGTATATGTGGAATAAATACAGAGTAAATGTGAGATGGTTTAGGGAGGAAGAACATTAAAAATAGTTGGCAGGAGGTAGAGAGAGAAATCAGAAAAGGCTTCATACAGAAGAGACAGTGTATGAGCTAGCACAGGGGTTCTTAACCTGGTATCCATGAACATTTTAAAAAAATTTCAACAACTGTATTTCAAAACCGTTCCCTTTGTAATAAGACACATTTTACTTTATGCATTTAAAGGCATTCTTCTGAGAAGGGGTCCATGGGCTTTACCAGATTGCTGAAGGAAATCCATGACACACACAAAATTTCAGAACCTCTGAACTAGTCTATTTCAAAGGCAGAACTTGAATCCGAGTCTTCGTAACTCCAAGGGCAGAGCTCTACCCACTCTACGATACTGCTTCTCATCACTGAAGGGAGTTAATCAGTGTTCACTGAATTCAAGACTACCATCCTAATACTGTGCCTAATCACTTCATAATTGCTTTCTTTGTCTTCTGTCTCTCCTCCCTCTAATCATTCCTATAGTTGCTGCCAGACCAATCTCCTCAAAACATTCCTTTGTACACTTGATGCTTCTTGCAATGCCATTTAGTAGCTCTCCAGTGTCCTATACAACACGCCCCACATTTCTTGGCCTGTCCCTCAAATCGTCCTATGATCTGGCTCCAAATGATCTTGAGAGGCAAGACTGATAGTGAAGAAGAAAGACTATGGAACTGGAAATAGCCCTGGCTCTGCCACCAATTCATTACTTGGGTGACCTGGCTAAGTCATTTCTAATACCAGGAGCCTTCATCTCCTCCTCTATAAAATGAGAAGGTTGGATTAGATGATCTCTAGAGTCTAAATCTTGGGTCCTAAGATCTTTTCCCATTTTGTGAGTCTTAAACCACTCAGAGACTGTGGGGAATTAGAGATCTTTAGCTATAAAACACAGCACTGAAAGCTGGCTCGATAAAAGAGAGAACCCCTGAATTGAGACACACAGTTTCATGGAAAAGGACTGTCCTGAGAATAGTCCACTTACCACCTGTCCGGCCAGGGGATCATAGAACCTCTCGAGCAGTTGCACCACAGTACTCTTCCCACAACCACTGCTGCCCACAAGAGCCAGGGCCTGACCCTTCTTCACCTCCAGGGTCAGGCCTTGGAGTACGGGGACATTTGGCCGGGTAGGGTAGTTGAACCTGACTTCATTAAGTGACACATTCCCTTCGAACTTTTCCTAAAATAAAAATGCCATTAAATTAACTACATGATGAGCAGAAATAGGCTGTGAGGTTAATCCTTCTCCACTACCATGTGAGAAACATTCCTTTTTTTTTTTTTACTATTCATTTTTGGCTCCACTTTAGACATGCTAAGACTCAATAAGTGCAGGCAATCCTTTTACAATGTGTGTGGGGTTTTTTTAAGCTAAGGCAAATCAGGAGTAGGTAGGTGTCACAGTAGACAGAGCACAAGCCTTGAAGTCAGGAGGATCAGAGTTCAAATCTGGCCTCAGATACTTACTAGCTATGTCACCCTGGGCAAGTCACTTAACCCCATTGTCTCTCACACACACAAAAAAGATGTGTCTTTTACCAGACATCAATGTAATGAAATTACCTGTATACATTAAACACACATGAATATTACACATTTGTAGAATGCTGTATATTATATAACATTCATTTATAAATATAGATTTATATGCAAAATAACTTTATACAAATATATATTTTATATTCTAATGTGAAAACATATAATAAGTATATATTAAAAACCTACACTAATTAGCTAGTTTCTTAAAAAAAATTTTTTTAAGCAATTGGGGTTAAATGACTTCCCAAGGTCACACAGCTAGTAAGTGCCAAGTGTTTGGTCTGATGCCGAATTTGAACTCAGGTCCTCCTGACTTCCTCCTGCTCTATCCACTGCACCACCCAGCTGCCCCAGAAAATTTTTTTTTCACTTGGTATTCTAGAAAGTTATATTTATATCAGCAACAAATATTAAAGGCATGTTCCATTGATTTCTTATTATAACTCAATTCAACAAACATTCATTAAGCACCCACTGTCTACAAGGCACCTGGGCTAGGAAATGGGGAGACAAATACAAAAATCGAAGTCTTTGTTGTGGAGGCAGTGGCATTTTACTACGTAATCCAAACAAGCCAATGAAGAGTCAGTATGCAAATCCTAAACTCCAAAGGTGAAACTGACCAGTTTCTGTCCCTCCTCACTGTAGCTGTCTATCAAAGGTTTTCGTTCCAGGAGCATGATGATGTGGGATGCTGATATTTTGGCTTTGGCGTAGTCTGGTGCAAGGGAACTTGTCTGCCCTAATGCCATGGCACCAAACACAACAGCTGAAAACACCCTGTAAAAAACCAAAAGTTTAAAAAGTCATGATCACAGTGATTTCAATTTAATGTTTCCACGGTAAGTCTAATTATTATAGAAGTTAAAAAAAATCTTCCCCTTTGCCTAAGTAACACTTGTGAATTCTAGAATCATCATACCCTGTAATAATGGAGGGGAGAGAAGAGTGACTCTTATGGAGATACAGATGCTTTCTGTGTGAGGTATCCAAGTTCTGTAGCTATCATTTTAATCTACAATCACTTAATCTATACACGAAGAAACTGCACAACCTTAGGGATATAACAACAACAATAATAACAATAATAGACAGCTGTAAGGTTTTCAAAGTACCATATATGTTATCTCATTTGATCCTTACCCTTTGAGGTTAAATGCTATTATTACCCTCACTTTACAGATGAAGAAACTGAGGCTGAGAGACTAAGTGACTTGCCCAGAGTTACACAGTTACTAAGTATCTGAGGCCAGATTTGAACTGTGATCGTCCTGACTTCAAGTCCAGTCCAGTCACCTTGTCCATCCTTTATTTAATACAAGAATCCTTTTACGTCTAGCCAGTGTGAGCATTCCTGGGGATGGCAGACTGTTGTCACAGAGATTAACAAAAAAACTTGCTCTTTTTGGGGGGGGGGGACAATCAGGGTTAAATGACTTGCCCAAGATCATAAAGCTAGTAAGCATCTGAGTCTAGATTTGAATTCAGGTCCTTCTGACTCCACGGCATGTATGTGTTGTATTCACCGTACCGCCCACTTCTAAGGGGAAGTTTGCCTCCTTTTCATTTCCAGATATCATTCCTACTTTTGCCTTCTGGAGCAACAAAGGTTTCTCTTCCATATTATAGCCCTTTTAATGTCTTATGCCCTCTATCATTCCCTTTCCCTTTCACCATCTCAGCCTTCTCTAAGATAAACATCTCTCATGGTTCTACTAGTCCTCATGACATGGTGGTAAGGTTCCTCACCCTTTAGCTTCCCCTCCTATGATACATCTGAGTTTGTCAGTGCCTCCCAACTGTGGTACACAGAACTGAACATAATATTCTAGATATGATCTAAGTAGTACAGGACATAAAATAGGAGCATTATCAGTCCCGTGATCTAGAAACTTACTTCCTTTAATATAGGTTAAGATTACATCATCTTTATTAGCAGCTGAGGCACACTGTTGGCTCATAGTGAGCTTGCAGTCAATTTGCCTCCCCAAAAGCCCAGTCATTTTTCATTAGCCGCTCTCAAGCAAGGTCTCTCCTATTCTGTACTTGGATAATTAAAATTTTAAACCTAAGTGCAAGAGTAGCAAAAGCTTCAATTGAGTTAGTGCTTTTCCTCAGAGAGAAGAAATACATAAATCTTTCCAGAAACCTTACGGCAAAAATGACTAATTTTGATTTCCCCTAAGGCTTATCCATTGGTATAAAAAAAGAATCTGCACACTTTTTGGTGGACACGTACAAAAATTTCATTTCTTCCAAAGCTAGAGCTGGAATTGACCATAGATTCCAACTATTCCAACCCTATCCTTTCGCAGTTGAAGGAAGTAAGGCTCAGTGTCTATTCCAGAGTCACTCAAAGAGTATCAGAAATGGGATTTCCACCCAGGCCTTGCTGATTCCTAATCTAGCATTCTATCCATGATGTCATGCTGTCTCTCATATGAAGCTTTTCAGAATCCTCTCAGTCCCTCAACTCTTTCTCTTCATTGCTAGTACCTCCACCCCAATACCTAATATCAATTTTACATATGCTTATAAATTGGCATATTATCTTCTCTCAATAGAATGTAAGCTTCTTTAGGGTAGGGACTATTTCATTTTTGTGTTTACAGTCCTATTTTCTAGCACAGCCTGGCATATAATAGATACTGGATAAATATTGCCCCATTGATTGATTTACTACATCCGCAACCATGGGCAAGTCAATGGGCCTCAGTGACCTCATGGGTAACATGAGAAGTTTGGATGAAGTGACTTTGAAGGTCATTTTACAACTTTTGATCCTATGCTATGGACCTCTGAGTAGGTCTGCTTGTCAAACTTTCTCCTTCCCATCCTGTGTTTAATTGATCTAACTAAAGCCCTTTAAAGAGGACATCTGAATTTCTCATCTATCTTCAGACATTCCCCAAAGGAATGAAGACCCTTTGAAAGTCTCAAGAAATGTCACTTTGATATATTTTTCTAAAGTGTCTAGAATTTGTCTCCCAGAGTCATGCCAGATACACCACTAAAATAAATTCAATGTCCCAATTTTTTACCTCTAATTCTAGAACACATCACAGGTCAAATGCAGAAACAGACTGAGATACTTACAAGAGAACATCTTGAAACTTCATAAGTTGACGTGCCACCAAGAAGGCGCCAAACCGGAAACAAGCAGCATAGGAAAAATACATCATTGCTTGGGTGAGAGAAAAAGTGATGCCAAAGATATGTGCTTTCTTCACAGAATTTCTGAAAGGAATTTTTTTTAAAAAATGAATCATGGTACTCAGGTAGGAACAAACAAATTTAGTGTAATGGTGTACTTTTAAATCAAGGTCTATCCCAACATTTACGAGACAGGGTCAGCAATGGCATGGGCCATTAGTTATCTGTGCACTCTTCTTTGTGGTATCCAAAAGGAAAAGCTGTCCCTTTCAGAATCAAACCAAAATGACTGGTTTTGTCTTTTTTTTTTAAACCATTCAATTAATTCTCACTAAGTGATGGACTATTTAATCATCACTAATTGAATTCAAATCAGGTCACCAGTCTTTTGAAACTTGCTACACTTCTTCCTCTGGTCGATTTGCTCCCTTTCTTTCTGCCCACAACTACCTTACATTTAGAATCTTTGTATTTATTCTGTATATAGTACTACACATACTTATTGTCTCTCTAGTAGAACGTAATCTCCTTGAGAGTGGGGACTGTTTCATTTCTTTTGTATTTGTATGCCCATCCCCTGGCACAAAGTTGGAGTTCAAAATGCTTGCTGACTGCCAAGGAAAGGAAGCAGTACAAGACAGAGAATGGAGGAAAAATCTTCAAAGTGAAGGGAAAGCGTAAATGCTCAAGGGAGCAAACAGGGTGGGCGAAGGAGAAGATGGAGGAAGTGACATTAGTGGCTGGTATCAAGGAGTCATTTGTGTCACTGCTACTATAGAATGCTGTGACTGGTACTAACGCCCTTGAGGACCTAATGGGTTTCCATGAGCTGAAGAGAAATTCTCAGCCAGAGATAGAGGGAATAGCAAAATAAAAGTGGTATGATAGGATCACACCCAACCATCTCAGTTACAGCAATCAAGGCAGGAGTTCATAAGGATCTGGCCTATACAGAAAAATACACACACAACAACAACTGATTTTTGTGAATCAAAGAAAGTCAGTTCTAAGAGAGTACTAATTAAAACACTAATGCTGTAAGTAGCAAATCACTAATAAGCCTCCCATTCTAGAGGTACGACTTTTCTTTGCCCTATGGGAAAAAACTGAAAAATGGTCTTAGTAGTTCAAAGAAAACCCAACTTTTCTCCCCGTCACCCTCCTTGCCCCCACTCCATCATTCATTACCTGTATGGTCCCAGCAAGCTCTGTTGATACATATACTCAAACTTTTTCTCCTGAGTCAGAGAAACAACAGTTCGGAAATTTTCTATTGCTTCGGTAGCGATCTGCACAAGAGGGCATAAGAAAGCCAAAGGTGAGGATGTGATAAATAATCTGTATCATATAATCATGGACTCACTCCAGAATTCATCCTACTTTTACTTGCTCGGCTTCTTAAATATGGACAACACAATTAATTAGTCCTCATTTAATCACTGAATCACAGAGTTATAACTTAAAAAAACACTCCAACTCCCAACCCAGCTGGGTGAGAGTGAGGCAGCCCTGTGCTACCTGCTGCCCAAAGGGCATAATTAGGTATTGGTGGAAAGAATGCAGACACCTGTTCTTGTATGAATGTATGAAAGATGGAGTTGGAGTGAGAGTTCTGAAGAATACTAATAACTCTTCCTTCCTGCTTTGAGGGAGGATGTGTGATTTCAGAATCCCTAGGGATAGACTAGAGACAACTAGAGAGAATGAGACCAACTTTGGAAGGCAGACCTATCAGTGAAGGGGCCTCCTTACCATGTCGATGATTTCCAATTTGCCTCCCTAGAGACTTCAGGGAATTTCCTGTTGGGTGAGATCAGGGACTTTCTTTTGGTTGAACAGAGCTTCTATCTAAAGAGCTCACTGACTGTTGTATATTTTCAGGTATATTCTAATACTTATAACTTCTCTGATTTCTGCTCACTATTGGCTTGAAAAATTGGCTTTACTGGCTATTCACTTTTGTGGTCATCTTTTGTGTGACTAGCACTTGGTGGAAAGGGGCCTAGCCAATGGGTGTAAGCTTGGGATTACCACTTCCCCTTTATGGGAAAGCAACCAAATAACCTAATGGCTTTTGAACCTAAAAGTCCTTTCCCATATGATTAGCAATATTTACATGGGCAAAGAGACACAATTCTTCCTCTGAGGAAAACATAGTGGTGAGCCTCATAGCCCCACTTCCTGTTCACCTCAAGGCAGGGAATGCAGTTTCCTTGGAGAGGGGCAGGCATAATTCCAGAGATATCTATTAATGCTAGTGCCTTCCCTCTGACGTTACTTCCTATCTGCCTTATGTGGATCTCGTCGATATACAATTGTTTGCATGTTGTCTCCCTGCAGCAAACTGTGACTTTCTTGAGGGGAGGAACTGGTTTTGCCTTTCTTGGATCTCCAGAGCAAAGTCCTTGGCATGTAGTAAGCACTTAAATGCTTGTTGATTTAACTTGAAGTAAACGTCTCTCCCCTCAGGCTGCTTGTCTGTAAGTTTAGACACCCCGTTTGGACATAATACATATTTAAATAGGGAACACATATTTTACAGAAGGAATCTGAAAGGTCATCCGGGGACTAACTCCCTCATTTCACCAATAATGAAACTGAGGTCCTAAGGGCTTAGGTAACTTGCCAAAGGTCAAACAGCTGGAAAAACTGGGACCAGACTCAGTTTCCTGACTCATAGGTCAATGCTCTCTCCATGGCAGAACACCACATTTTAACTGATTCATTACCCAGCTCTTTTCTCATAAGCCTCAAGTTTTAAACAACACTACGATGCTTTCAAAATCACAAAAGTAAAATCCTCAGAAGACAAATTATGGTGTCTGTAAGTATAGTTACAGTATCTGGAAGCATTCTGTATACCAAGTTCTTATTCTTTCCACTGGTAATTAATGCATTCTTTCTGAGCTCCTGTTTCACACAAGAATACTCTAAACCAAAAATAATCTGGGAGGCAGGGAAAGATTTGTACTCTGGGCTCAAAAACCTCTCATTAAATCTCTTACATGTGTATCAACTTGCTACCCCGGGACACTGAGATTCTCCACAATTGAGTGTCTCATCATGACTCCTCTAAAGGTAACAACTACCATTTAAAGGAGTGATAGGTTGCAGATTTGAAGACCCTCATAAGAAAAGTTTGTAATTTTGCAGTTTTGAGGTCTGTGAGGAAAAAGATAATTTGTGGTAGGGAGGGAGAACAATAAAGACAGAACTTATATTGGACTTTAAGGTTACAAAACACTTTGTAAATATAATCTCATTTTATCCGGGGAGTTAGGTGCCATTATCATTCCATTTCACATAGGAAGAGATGGTGGCAGAGAGAGCTACCAACAGTGACTTCCCCGGGATCGGGTAGCTAGAAGTATCTAAGGTTGGATTTGGATTTGTCCTCTTGACTTTGGGGCCAGCCTAGTGCCACCTAGTGATCTTGAGGAGGAGAGAGGGAAGAAAAAGAGATATTTTTTAAAAACACAAAACAAAGTGTTAAGGTCAGAGACCCTAGTCTAAGACCCTAGCCATGTGATACATTGGATAGAGCTTCAGTGCTTGAAGAAAACCAGGGATTACCAGAGGCAAAGGTGATGGGGTGGGGGGGGTGGGGAAAGCAGTATATTCCAGGCACAGGGGACAGACTTCAAAGGCATAGATAATAGAAGAAGAAGGCCTTGTGTAAGGTAAGGAACAGAAAGAAGGCCAGTTTGTATGGGACAGAGAATTCATAAAAGGGCATAACATGTAACAAGCCCTGAAGAGGACTTTAGAGTCAGATTGTAAAGGGTTCTATATGCCAAAAAGAGGAGTTTGTATTTTATCAGTTCTAAGAATACATTTAAGAAAGACTTTCAATTACAAGGATTAAAAGAAAGATTTTTGATTTCGCTCTCCCCACAAACCTTACTCCCTAAACTGATTCCTTTTGAAGTCTTACTATATATCAGAGTGTGAAGGTCTTAAACAAACACATTCTCAAACTTCTCTAATCTTACTTTCAGCAGTGAGCCTACCCTGTACACAGCACAATCAATTACTTTTAAAATAAAAGCTACAAAAGCAGTAGCACTTATGAATCACACCAAACAAAACCACTTAATCACTTAATAATTAAAGAATTCATTGTCTAGGAGAATGAGGTAAATTAAGGAAAAGTTAACTAGTGCCCTGAGATATTATTTTCTAATCAGGGGAACGGTAAATAGCATTTAGTGTTTCCTATGGAAATCTCTTCACCTCACACAGCTGGGAGAAAAGGGAAATAGTATAAATAGCTTCTAATAGAATTAACTGTCTCATCACATCTCTCTATACCCCACCCTCCCCCACTGTCACAGAAATATGTTTTTCAACTTTTAAAAGACCAAAAAGATAAAATGTTTGCATCACTAAAAACAATCATTTCTGAAAATGACCTTTAAAAATGGATTGGCAACCTATAGCACTTGTGACGAAAGGGGCATGTGGACTGGCTCTTCCCCAACAGCCTGCCCGTGAGAACCACAGCCACCAGTAATACATCAGGCCTTTTCTCCTTTGTTCTCATTCTCCTCAATGGCAAAATGTAAGACTAATAGTGATGCCCCGATTTTGACAGGTTCACAACTTGTGTCTAACATCTAAAGCTTAGAATTGCTTCTTCCAGAGAGTCAATCCCTTGGGGCATAACAACTCTTCAACGCTAAGTTTTCAGACATACAATTTATTCCTAGCTTTTCTCATTGCTTCTACAGATAAACAAAACTATGTATAGTACTTACATTATTAAGCAGTTGGTTACAAGGTTGGTCTTACATGTCCCTCTTCTCTCAGACACAGCCACCACTTTGGTGTAAGTGATCAAACCTGGGACCTGGATTACTCCAACAGACTTGTTTGGTCTTTGTGCCTCAAAGCTCTCCCCACTTTACTCCATCTTTCACTGACCATGTCACTCCCATTCAATAAACCCCACCAAGATCAAACAGAAAATCCTATTTGGCTTTTAAAATCCCCCATAACCTGGCCTCTTCCTACTTACATTTTACTACCCTCCAGATATTCTATGATACAGGGACACTGACTTCCAGTGATAAGATACTCCAAATTGACCCCATATGTACTTTTTTTGTGTTTTTTTTTTTTTTTGGCTAAGCAGTTGGGGTTAAGTGACTTGCTCAGGGTCACACAGCTAGTAAGTATCAAGTATCTCAGGCTAGATTTGAACTCAGGTCCTCCTGACTCCAGGGCTGGTGCACTATTTACTGAGCCACCTAGCTGTCCTCTACATGCACTTTCACTGGATGTCTCTCATGTCTGGAATTCCCTCTCTTCATGCTTTCAAGTCTCAACCAAAATTCCACCTTCGGTAAGAAGCCTTTCCTGATCCCCTTTAATATTAGTGCCTTCCCTCTGAGATTACCTCCAAATTATCCTCTGAGAGAGTGTGTGTGTGTATCTCCTTGGAAAAAAGTTTGTACATAAGTGTTTACCCATTGTCTCCCCTATTAGACGGTGAGGTCCTTGAAGAAAGGACTGATTTTGCCTTTCTTTGTATCCCCAGAGATTAGTACAATGCCCGGCACACTGTAAGCTCTAATTTTTGTTGATTTGATTTGGTATAAATATGATGACTTTCAGAAACTGACCAGATCAGTTACTGATTTGGGGATATTAACTCTATATTCATGCCAAAGTCCAGAATTGGTTCTAAAGCTTGAAGCCCAGATTAATATATAGGAATCACAGCTGCAAAAATTAGCGGGGGATAGGCCCAGTCAACATTCCGGGAAGTCACAGAGACCACAGATCAGGATGCCTTCATATAAGCTCTGCATATGACAAATGCCAGCTGGTTATGACCACTGCTGTGCTGCTGGCCTAGAGGATTATTTGCCCCAATCAAAGTCATATGATAAAGGCATCATTAAGATCAGACTCTGTTGGGACAGCTAAGTGGTGCAGTGGATAGACCACCGGCCCTGGATTCAGGAGGACCTGAGTTCAAATCTGGCCTCAGGCACATAACACTTACTAGCTGTGTGACCCTGAGCAAGTCACTTAACCCCACTGCCTAGCCACAAAAAAAAAAAAAAGATCGGACTCTGTCATAAACCTAGCTTTATCATAAAACCATCCAACTAATCAACCATTAATTATACTTCCTCTACTCAACTGTTCTTTGACAACATTTCCTCTTACATTCCATTTCAGCAGACCCAAACAAAGATATGGAGACTTTACCTCACTTGACAAGGGAAAAAATATGAAACTAAATAAAAAAGAAAGTTCTTGTTGAATTATACTCCAAAGGTGGCAATTTTTAAAAAAATCTCTAAACAACAACATTTATGATTATTATTTGTAATAATGGCAAACTGGAAACAACCTAAGCACCCAAAAGTTGGGGTATGGCTGAACAATGGTATATCAATGCCCTGGAATATTAGATTCCCATTAAGAAAAACAAATACGAAGAAGGGGAAATATGTAAAAACTCATTTAAAATTTTGCAAAGCAAAATAAAACCTACGCAGAATAGTACAGACATCAAGAAACTAAAATCATGTAAAGAATATATTTTCTTAACATGTGAATATACAATTTGGAAGGGGCTTTAGAGAGATTTATCAATAAATTCTTATTTATTGCACACTTCAGCATATTCTTCACCACAGTTATGAGTTTAAATGTTTTCTGGGTTATGTGATATTAAGTTAATTCATATTAAACATTTTTTTAAATGAGACAAACTGTAGTAGATGGAAGGCAAAAGAGTAGGAGGCCCTGGACTTCACCTTCAACCCAAATGAAGACACGTGAGAGGCTTTCCGTCTTTGCTTCAGTTCTCAAATCTACTGAACAAACGAACAATCTGGTCTTTCTGAGGAAGGACAGTTACTTCAAGAGATATAAATAACCAGACCCTATAAATAAATGGAGAAAACTGAATATGACTGACCTTTCCAGCACCCTCTAATTCTTTCTTATCTTTCTGGGCATGTCCAGCCAACATTTTCATTTCAACAACTCCTGCAACTGAGATGATTGGTACAATTGCTAAGAGCAAAAATGTTAACTGCCAGCCGTAGATGAATGAGATGATAACTCCAGTCCCAAGATTGGCTACGTTCTGGGTAATGATAGCCAGTCTAGCACCAGTAGCCTACAAAACATAACAACATTTTTAAAATGCAATATGCTTACTCTTAACTGATGTTATAAAAAAATTAATCACATAAACTCCCAAATGAGTATCTTGTTTGTGAAATAATAGAAATACCTAGCATTTATATGGCACCACATTAAAGTTTGTAAAGCACTTTACGTATGTTAATTCATTCAATCCTTGCAATTAGTGAGTCAGATGCCATTATTATCCCCATTTTACAGACAGAGACATAAGCTTAAGTGACTTGTCCAGGGTCATACAGCTGGTAAGTGACTGAGGCAGGATTTGAACTCAGGTCTTCATGAGTATAATTCCTTTACTTTACCACTGTTACATCAGGTACTAATAATAATTTATAATAATCAATACTTAAATAGCACTGACTATATGTCAGGCACTGCGCTAAGTGCTTTTTATGAATATTATCACATTTAATCTTCATACCCTTCAAGGTAGATGCTATTTTTATCCTCATTTTACAGTTGAGGAAACTGAGGCAAAAAGTAGATAAGTGACTTGCTCAGGGTCATACAGCTAGTCAGTGCCAAAGGCACGATTCGAACTCAAGTTTTCCCGTCTGCAGGCCCAGCGCTCTCTGCATTGTGTCACCTGATAAACAGATGTGTCACCTTGGGCAAATCACTGAATCTGTCCGGGTTCTGTTTCTTCCCTTGTAAAACCATGATCTCCAAGGTTCCATGTAGCTCTAAAATCCTGTAAGTTGCTCATGCATAACTTCGGTCCTAGTGCTTTAACCACTTCAATGATCAAATCAGATAAGTTCTGAAAGTGGCCTGAAGGCATGACTGATAAGCTTGCAGAGAGCAGGGAACAAACATTTATTTAGTGCCTATTATGCGCCAGGCACTGTGTTGAGCGCTTTTTACCAATATTAACTTGTTCAATCCTCACAACAACCTTGCAAGATAGGTGCTGCTGTTATTCCCATTCTACAGATGAGGAAACTGAGATAAAGAGAAGTTAAATGACTCACCCAGGGTCACATAGCTAAGTGTCTGAGGTCACATTTGAATTCAGGTGTTCCTGACTCCACAGCTAGGGCTCGATCCACTGCGCCACCTAGCAGAGGGCAGAGACCCTTTTTCATGTTTGATTCCTCATGTCCAGCACAGTGCCTTGTGCATAGTAGGCAGAATAAAAGTTCACTCGATTGGTAGTCTCCAGAATTTACAAAAGATAAGAGTCCTTTCATGAAAACTTATAGCTTCTCCAGATATCACAGAGCATCAGGGATGGGGAATCTCAGCCTCGAGGCTGCATGTGGCCCTCTGGGTCCTCAAGCGTGGCCCTTTGACTGAATCCAAACTTCACAGAACAAATCCCCTTAATAAAAGGATGTGTTCTATAGTCAAAAGGCCACACCCAAGGACCTAGAATGTCACATGTGGCCTCAAGTCCACAGGTTCCCCACCCCTGGATAGGTATTTTATATTTTTATATGATGTCCTTAAAAGTGATGAAAACAGGGGCAGTTAGGTGGCACAGTGGATAGAGCACTGGCCTTGGAGTCAGGAGGGCCTGAGTTCAAATCTGGCCTCAGACACTTGACACTCACTAGCTGTGTGATTCTGGGCAAGTCACTTAACCCCAATTGCCTCACCAAAAAAACAAACAAACAAACAAACTAGAAAAAGTGATGAAAATATACAGCAGAAGAACATCAATTTCATACCTAACTCAAAGAATGCCAGGAACAAAGCCAACAGGAAACCTGGTACTTACCCCCTTGACTTGGGAGGCATCAGTAGCAAGTCTTGTTGTCAGAGCACCAGTGCTGTTTTTAGGGTCATCAAACCAGCTTACATCCTGCAGCACAAAACAAAATTTTCACTTGCAAGTACAGAATATTGCATATTACATCTATTTTTTTCCAATGCTTCAGTTGCCTTTGTTAAATTTTCCTCTCTTTATCCTCTTTTCCTTTCCCCGAGAATAGGCACAGGGTCAAAGAAAGGCAATGAATACCACTACATGAAATAATGAAGAATGAAATGAGTAGAACCTAGAGAACATTGTATGCAGTAACAGCAATATTGTTTTAAGAATGACTTTGAGTGACTAAGTCATTTTGACTCTTATAAATACCCAAATTAACTAAAAAGGACATAAGAAGAAAGAAGCTGTCTGCATCCAGAGAAAGAACTGATAAACAGAAGTATGTACAGAATAATTATATACATACATATACATACATACTCATGCATATACATACACACAGACATATACACATACACACATATACACCTATTTGTGTCTAATCATGGCCATCTCTAGGGCCAGGTGGAGGGAGGGAAGAAAAAAATAGGGGAAAAAGAAATCTATGTGTTAACTTTGCTACATATTTGGAAGAAGTGGCAATGAGTGTGTGATAAATTTGCAGTTTCATGTGCAATCAGGTTTTTTATTATAGTGTGTTATGGAGATACTTGTTTTATTCCATAAATTAAAAATAAAATATATATTTTTTGAAAAGAAAGGCAATGTACAAGCAGAAATAAGTGAGATCATTTTCCTAATGCGTGACAAGAATCATTTTTCCATTTTCGTGATGTAAAGATAAATACTATGACCAGCTGAACTCTTCTGCATTCATTTTTATACTGCCTATAATTTAGGATATTTTAGGGTTTTGTTGTTTGAATTAAAGTTTCCTATATTATTTCTTTCACAGTGCCAGGCTAGGGCAAAGAGGGACAATTTCCCTTTAAACAGAGTGAAACATAAGAAAGAAAAACTAGACAGCATGTGGTGACAGATTTACGTTTTCTGGTTTTGTGAAATCAGTCTCCAGTGATTCTTTAGGCTCTATACATGGTACTTGGGTGTAGCATTTTGAATGATGTTGAAACCATTAGCAAATGGGATAAGCTTTACGTATTTGCATGTGTGGGTGTTTCTGAAGCACATATTGACATCCAACTCTTTATTAAAGACCCTGCATTAAGAAGAGTTACTAATATCAAATCTATAATAAAAAAGAAAGGCAATGAAGGGATACTGTATAAAACATCCACCTTTTCTACTTGGGGCTGTCCTTGCCTAGGACTGAAGGAGAGAGAAGAGGAGCTTTGGATTGGGAGTATTAGGTATAGATGAAACCTCAGGATGCCAAATTGGCAGTCCTGATCTCTAACTTCTCCCATTGCTCACAAGTAGAAAAACCACAGGTCAACTCTCAAGGCACACATCATACAGAAAATAGTTTCTTCAGGGAGGACAGGTGGTGATTGGTCCCTGTCATGGACAGTGTTAAGCCCATGAGGGACCTGGACATCTAGTCCATCTCCTTGATTTTATAGATGGCAGAGATAAGATTCTAACCCAGGTCCTCTGACTCCAAAGGCAGTACTCACTTCACTGGCATTATGCCATCCTCTTAAATGATGTGGTTATACCCATCCAATACTTAATGATGATGGGAAGAAGTTGGAGCATACGTTGCCAACCTCCTAAGTTGAAAAGAGTGCTGGACTTGGGAGTCAGAAAGATCAGAGTTTAAAGCCAGCATCAGACATCTACTAGCTGTGTGAACTTGAGCATGTCAATTAACCTTTCTGTTTCTTAGTTTTCTCATCTATAAAATAAGAAAGTTATATCTGATAACCTCTAATTCCCCTTCCATCTTTAAATCTATGATCCTATAAGTGGAGCCATAGGAGAAAGACAGTTTTGGAATGAAAGCATTTAGGGACTAACTGCCAGATTCAGTTTCTTCATCTGTAAAATGGGGATGATAATATCATCTACCTCAGAGTTGTTTTGAGGATCAAATGAGATAACATATGTAAACTGCTTTCAAACTTTAAAGGGCTACATAAGTTTCAGCTGTTTTCCCCAAGTCTGAGTAGCTAGATCTTATAGAAATTAACTAAATATTACATCCTTGAGGGGGAACAAAAGCTTCTCATGCTACAGGTTTCTTTTATATGGTGTAATAGAAAGCATGCTCAGCTTGGAGGGCTAAAGTTTGGAGTCATATATCCTGAGTTCAAATCCTGATAGATGGAAGGCCTTTTCAGATCACTTATTTCAATCTCCTCATTTTACCAGAAAGATGAAGCCACTTGCCCAAGAAAATTGACAGATACAGAATTTGAACCCTGGTCTTGGGATTCCAATTTAATGGCAAGAAGACAAACCCCTTTCACAGCGATGTCTACCTATCTTCTGTGACAAGCCTTTCCCAGACCTCCTTAATCTTAGTGCTTTCCCTCTGAGATGACCCCCTCCCTTTTATTCAGACTATATCTTGTTTGCAGACAGTTGTTTACATGTTGTCTCTCCATTGGGATTTTAAGACTGAGTTCCTCGAGAGCAAAGATTGGTTTTTTCCCCCTCTTTCTTTATATCTTCAGTGCTTAGCACCGAGCTTGGAGAATAACTGGTAAGTGAATGCTCAGTGCTAACAGAAAGACCCCTGGATCTTAAGTGCAATGGCCTGAGTTTGAATCCTGGATCACCTACTTGACTATCTGTGTGATCTTGGGAAATCACCTCTCTCGGTCTTCATTTTCTCCTTGAGCTCTAAGTCACATGACATCTAAGATTAGAAGGAATCAACTCTTTCAATCTTGATAATCTTCCTAGTTATATCTGAGTTATAGCTGAGGTATATTTGATGCTCTTCACTCATGTAATCATACGGATATTTAATTCATCACTCTGGATCACCGTTCCAGTATTCACTGACAATTTCTTAGCAAAAATCTCTTAGCAAATACATCTTTAGAAGTGCCAGTGTTGCCTGATATATTTTAGGACTGAAAAATAATTTTGTATGTGCTGATTCAGGGTAGATTTTTTTTCTCCTTTGAGGTGAAGTAGCACTCATCTCAAATCATGAAGAGTAAAATCATTTTGCAGATTTAACAAACCCCTGGAGTGATTGCCAGACTCTCTCCTGTATTGAAAATGCAAAATCAAGGGTACTTCCAGCACCCAGGAGCATGAGTGACCTAAAGATGAATGAATGGAAACTCTTATGGGGACAGATTTTAAGTTTGCATTAACATTCTAATTTCCCCACTATCGAAGTTATTTAACTCTTGACTCAGGGTTACAGCCAGGGCTAATTTGCGCAATGGTGGTGAAATTATTCTCAAAAAGGAAAGAATCCATGCACCAGATGGCAGTCATTTTACCATCACATATCAGTTTGTGACTTCAGAGAGAATACCTGTCTCAGCATGGCTTTGAAGGCCATATAGCGGAGCCTCTTTGTAAGAATCTCTCCAGCTTTGCCAAACGTGAAGCCCTGTCGAAAACAAAGAACACGTTACAGAAAGGAAGGGAAGAAGCATTTGTCGAGCCTTTACTACGTTCCAGGCGCTATGCTAAGCATTAGCTTATTTACAAATATTACAATATTTGCAAGTATCTCAATACACAGTTTTCTTGAACAGAAGACTAGTGGCAGAAGTGGATTATCACCACTGAGGGACCCCAATGCCACAGACACATCTGCACCCAAGTGTTGGTTTGCCACATGACCGTAAAGGACAAGGACTTCTCTTGGTTTAGATTTCTCTTCCATTTGGACTACTTCCCTCATAGGAGAGCCATGCTTATTTCTTCCACTGTGGTTTTTTTGGCCATTTAGAGTTCTCTGTTTATCTAAATTCCACACTGCTAGCATTCAAGGCCCTGGCTCAAGACCCATTGTTTTGATGAAATCTTCTGTGGCTACCTCCACTCTCTTAGGATCTTTCCCCTTTGTGAATTCTTAGAATTCTAGTAGTTGGTACTGCACAATCTTACAGTTGACTGTATTATGCCTTTGTATACACGTAAACTGTTTCAGGTACTTCTGTATTATCTCCCCAGCACCTGGAAAGGAAGAGGCCTGGTTTTCCACTTTTTCTGTCATGCCTATGGTGATTATCTGGCGTTCATGGGCTCATCATCTTCTATTTCTCTAGCTATTAGCACTCTCTTCTTCCCCATATAATCATTTATACACTTACCTATTTACACAGATCTTCCCAGTAGAATGGAAGTCCCTTGAGGGCAGGAGCCATTTTTTTCATTTTGGTTTTGAAGCCTTGCCCACTTACATAATGTTGTCTAACGAGAAGGTCCTTAACAAATTCTTGTTGGATTGGATTGGATTACTAAATGTTAACTCTATGAATATAGGTGTTCAGAGAGCATGGCCAAGCAAAAGGAATTACATTGGAGAAGAAAGTACAATGGACAAATTTAGACAGTACTTCATCTTTACGTTTGCAATGTCATGCAAATCATTTGAAAGCTATAATACTGAATTCTTGAGAACTATGTTCTCTACTGGCTTTTTGTTGCTACTGATGTTGTTTTTACCTTAAGGCACAAGTATAATCATTACTTAGGAAATATTCCCATTTCCACAAAAAAAATGGGTAAGTGGCAACCTTAGGAAAGAAAATTTATATATTTTCATTTTAAACCTTGTGTGACTTACTTCTGAGTATTTCTTTTCTAGGCCAAAGGTTGACATTTCATTTAATGTAACTTATTTGTTTGGATCAATGCAAGGATTTTTAGGGTTCCCTCAAACTCCACATCTAATTATGATATTAAGTCCCACGCTCAGCTCCTTCTTATTCTAAGTATATTCTCAAGTATGTCATTTTGGTGGGGGAGAACGCCAAGTGGGAATTAGCAGGGGGTGAAGAGATGAAACAAAGAGAAGACAGAAGAACCATGTACATATTTTATCAAGGCTGACCCATCTTTTAGCAAAATCAACAGAGTACCTTCCCAAGTAGGCTGAGCTCTAGTTATACTTTTAATCGTCACTGGATAATCAATTATGAATTGATTATGTAATCAATTATATGGAAATGAATAACCAACTGATTAAACATCTACTGTGTGTCAGGCACAGAGACTTTGATGATCTCCTTAATTACTGCTGTTCTCCCTCCAAAAATACATTGCATGTAACTTGTATTTACTTTGTATTTATTCTCCATCTCCTTCTATATAGACACATCATCTCTCCCAACAGAATGTAAGCCTCATGAGAGTAGTGATCCTTTTATTTTTTGTCTTTGTATCCACAGCACCCAGGGCCTGGCACTTTATAAGCCTTAACAAATGTTTGTGGATTGACTGCTCATGCTAAGACAAACATGAAATAGTTCCTGCCCTCAAAGAGCTTACATTCTATTTGGGAGAAAACATGTACACAACTATGTAGAAAAATAAGTGAAAATATAGATACGTACCTGAAGGAAAAAGGTAATGAAAGAAACAATTCCAAGTACTAAAAACAACAATGAAAACAAATCACTATCACGCCGCCTTGTTGCAGCATCATTTGGTAGTGAGAAGACCTACAAAAAATAATTTGTTTGTAACAAAGGAATGTAGGAATTGCCATGCTGGCTCAGCACAAAAGTCTGCATGTCCCAATATTCTTTTGCCAACAGAAGTCTTAAAATACCAATGGAAACACTATTTTTTTTAGGATGTCTAGCTTAAGGGTTTATTAATTTTCTCTTAGTAACTCTACAATTCATACATTTGTCTAAAATTTTAAATCTAATCAATTTACATTTTATGTGGACCAAATGAGTACCATATGTAAAAATGTTTTAAATTATATAATTTTCTACAAATATTAAAGGAAGGCAAGGTTCAGGGCTTTAAACATACAACGAACTGACACATAGAGCTTTCTCCTTTGGCAAAAGGTGGATTATTTCATTACAATATCAAGATCATAGCATTGAGTATGATAAAGGACTCATCTGGCCTCTTCTCTGAGCTGCCAACGTACATCTCCACCTGCATAAAGGATTTGCCACTTGGGCATATCACCAAAACTTCAAATGCTGCTCTTCTTCTCCCTCTACCATTCCAATCTGTGGCACCTGGTGCCAATCTTTGGCATTATCTCTGACTCACAGCTGCCTCGCACCTCTCCTATCCCACCAACTATCAAACCTCAATCATTAATGAGATAGGTAAGAGTGAATGAATTTATCCAACTTTAAATTAGGATTGTAGGATTTTAGATTTGGAACAGAACCTAACATTATCTAATCTACCTTCTTGCTTAATAGATAAGAACTGGAGTCATGAGAGTTTGTGACTTGCTTGAAAAATATACACAGTGCACAGTCACTTCAAATCTCCATTTCCTGAACCCAAATCTAGCACTCTGTCCCCCTACCCCAAGCACTGCTTATATTGAAATACATCTATAAATAGCCTAATGGAATCATTTTGAGTCTTGCTGCTCTTTCTTAAAGGGCATAGATGGAGCCTATCATTTTATATCCCTACACTAGATAGCAAAGAATCGATGCAATAGGAATTTGCAGAAATGGCAATTTCAACCGACCTTATTCCCCTACCCCTGAAACTAGAAACACATTAAATCTCTCTCTCTCTTTTTTTTCTTCATATCAGCAAGGGATAATTTTGCTAAAGTTTGTGTGAAGGTATGACTTTTAAAAAACCCATCCTTAATGACAACACAAAGGCTTTACCAGATTACATAAAGCAATGCTTAAAATCCTATAGTCATTGGAATGTGTCATGCCACTCAAAGCTCTTACCCCAATAATCCTGGAAAATATTATGGCAAATGCTGGCTGCATAACTCCGTTGATAATAGCACAAAAAGTGCCAACCACTAAATAAGGCCATTCTGTCTTATTCATCTTCAGAACCTTGAAAAAAGAAACTGGAGGCACATTTTCATCCTAGAAAATAAAGATATCATGACACATAATAGATCTTTCAAAATAAAATAATTTTGTCACGAATTTTCATTATCTGCTTGCAGTTAAAGATTAGAGGAATAAAACTTTCTTCAGCCTAGTTCATAAATAACCCCCAGCAAAGAGAAACCATCCAGCACTTGCATTTCCCCTCTGTTATAGCTAATTAATGAGTAGCTAGATGTAAGCCAATATCCATCCAACTGGGCAACAGGGAGAACATTGATTTTGTAATCTTCCAATAATTGCCAATAATCATTTGGGCATGTCACACTAGCTCAAATTTAGTGTTTGCAGTTTTCACTTGAAAATATGTGTGTTCTCTTGACTAAATACACTGGTAAATTAGTATGTCAGTCCACAAGGCAGGGCATCCATGATTTTCCTTCTCCACTCCAATAAACATCAACTATGTGCAAAACATAGGATGACAGGTGATGGTGATACAGACCAAAAAAAAAAAAAACCCAAACACCCGAGTTCTGCTCTTCTCCACTTTACATTCTAGATCTCATCCCTCAAACAAGCAGTTTCAGTGATTTGTTGTTTGTTTTTTTTTTAAAGCTAAGCAAGATATTTTTAAAAGGTATTATCAACATAGTCATTTGCTAATTTTCACATAATTAATAAGGAATCATAGATTTAGAGCTGAAAAGGACACTGGAGATCATCTGATCCATCCTGCCATTTTACAGATAAGAAGACAGAAGTCCAGGTAGATTAGATGACTGTAAGCCTCAGAGGCAGAATTTGAATCCAGGTACTTAGAATCTAGAACGCTATGTTCTTTTCCCATGTCACCCAAAGAATACTTTCTTAAATTGTATATTTTAAGGAAAGTATCCCATTTGATAAGATGAGCAAGGGTGAAAACTTTTCTCCTGGTTTCTGTTTTCACATTATTGACTATTTCAGATAGAAACTTAAATCCAAACTAGCATTGTTTAAAAATTGTCTACCTTTTCATCAATAAGTAATTGATTATTAATTATTAATGCCTAACTTTTCATCAATAATTTAATATTAATTTCATTACAGTTAGTTTCATTTGTAAAATAACTCCTCATGGCATGAAGATTATTCTAAGTTGCCTTATGACTCCAGTACTTAGCACAGTAAGTGCTTATTAGCAGGACTTGACTGAATGATGTCAGTGGGACGACGACCTCTCCCAAGTTCTGCCAGGCTGGAAAAACTTTGAGTATGAGTCTGGTGAAGGCTATATACCCACTATGAAAGCACCAACATAGCTCAGTTTGAGGAGGCCCATTATCAGAAAGTTGACACCCAGGTGCTGAATTGGTTTTTTTTACATATGTGTATATATATATATATACATATATATATATATACAATTCTCCCTTTCACATCATGGCCATTAGGGGCACAGTGTCTCTGCAATTTGGAAAATTTGTGTAAAATTTTTGGGCCCTCCTTTTATACCAGAGAAGAAGTCTGAATTATTATAGTATTAAAAGATAAAATACGTTGCTATTATATAACACTATACATATATAATGCATTTCTGAGTTTCTAAACTTTTTCTGTATTGTCAGAGGCTTCTGCAAAACTCTCCAAAAACTCCCATTTAATTTCTTATGCTGACCCACAATATACTGTAACCATGTGAAAAAGTGATAAGGAAGGGATAATTATATATGCATGTATATGTATGTATATATAGATATAAAGCACATCCTTATGTCACCTTCGTTTCCAAATATATCAATTACTTAGTGATGCATTTTATTCTTGTAACAAAAAATAGGGAAACATCAGTTGTCTCTGGCCTATGTGTACTTTTCCACATCTATAGTGCCCCAACTTGGCAAAGAGGAGAGAGAGGTGCATTTTTTAATTTTAATTGTCCAGTGTCGTGAACAGTCTGCTAAGATGCAAAGAGGGTGTCTGTGACACTGAGGAAATTAAGGATCCTTAAACTATTATAGTAAAACAGCTACTGAGTTTTTGCTGCTATACCATCTTTTTCTTTAAAGGTCACGAGAGCAGGAAGCCAACAGAGAAAAGTAGGCAGTTGATGTAAAGACAGACATGTGAAGGGAGGCAAAAAACAAAACAAAACAAAATTGACTTTCTGTTGTGGGTCACTTGCTTCCTCTTTTAAATTTTAGGTGCTATTTTGCAAAGTCCAAGCTTAACTCTCATCTTGCTTGTGGTCCTAGGGAAAACAGCGCTGGCCGTGTGAGCAGAAAAATACCAAGAGACTCACAAGCCGTTTCTCTTCCTCAGTGACTTTTTTCTCTGATCCCTGTGACTTCTTGATACTTGAACGAGTTGATCGTCTTCTTAGGAGACTGGATGCAAAACCTTTTGTAGCTGCTTCTGAGGCACTTATTTCATCTATCTGTTCATCTGGAGCACCCTCCAATTCATTCTGTTTTCCTCCTGTCTAAAATAAGCAAAATGTGCTTTAAAGACAGTATCTGCTGTCTAGTCAATTTGGTTTAACAAGAAAATTTAAGCTTTAAGCTGGAGATGTGCTAAGGTTAATATTTTGTCATACATTTCTTTTTGGCAATAGATTAGTAAGAAATAGCTAGCTATTCAACTGTGTACTTCTATGTAAGTGTATATGCATGCATGTATGTACATATGTACATATGTATGTATGTACACATATGTGCAGAGGGGCAATTAGGTATCACAGTAGATAGAGCTCCAGGCTTGGACACAGGAAGACTCATCTTCCTGAATTCAAATCTGGCTTCAGACACTTATTAGTTGTGTGACTTTGGGCAAGTCACTTAACCCTGTTTGCCTTAGTTTCCTCATCTGTCAAATGAGCTAAAGAAGGAAATGGCAAACCACTCCAGTATCTTCACCAAAAAAACCCCAAATGGAATCACAAAGAGTCAGACACAACTGAAATGACTGAATATACATATACATACATTATTCACACACACACACATATATACACACAATTTGTATTATATGTTGAAAGACAAAGTTAATATGCCAGTAAACCCACTGCAATAAGAATCATGCAGGCAAATGAAATCAAATGATACAAGGAAAATTGTATTTTTTTAAAAATCTAGAAACTCTATGTCAAAATATGATATATTACAAGTCTATCTCATTCTCTTTTCTTTTCTGCAATGATTCCTTACATATGCTCTTTTGTACCATCTTTCTTGTGCAATTACAGGGACACAATCACTTTTGTCTTGGCTTTGATCTTAATCATATTTCCAATTTTTATTCACACATTTTCTGCTTTAGTTACCCCATGTTAAGGGCTGAAACTTAAAACAGCAGTCTGAAGCAACTCTTGCCTAGTATTTTTGCTACTTTTCAAAGTGACCTTGAAGGGAGGTGCTATTTACTTCCAGTATAAATCATAGCAAAACCCATGTCTACATAGAAAAACTGAAAAAACATATACTGAAAATGTACCTGCATGGTAACAAGTTTGAAGTAAACACCTTCTTGTTTCATTAATTCATTATGGTTTCCTTGCTCCACAATAACTCCATCCTCAAAGCCAGCTATAACATCTGCATTACGGATTGTAGACAAACGATGGGCTATAACAATGGTGGTACGGCCTTCTCTTGCCTATGGAGAAAGCACATGGGAATTAAGCAAACATTTAAAAAATTGCTACAGACAAAAGATCATGTACAAATAAGATGTGGTGTTGGAGGCCTGAAAGTGGAATTTCTGAATCTATCAATGGCACATATTCTCCAGTGTGCAGTACTAGTATCCATGAATGCTCAAAGCATTAAAGGAAAGTCTCCAGCACTCTGGACAGTTTCTTTTTGCATCATTTATGGGAAGATTTCTATAAGACTTGCACAATATCACCAGCCATTAGATAGGGTGTAATCTGCATCTGTGGAGGGACGAGCCACACCAACAGGTCATGAATCTGTCAGAGTACCAAAAATAACTTAATGACTTGCAAGCTTGTCATTGAGGGGTTGATCATAATGTTATCATTAGAGGGCATTTCATTCTTTGCATTTTTATCCCCAACACTTATCCGAGAATCTGGTATATAATAAGCACTTAATAAGTTAACTGTAATATATAATGGTAATGTATCAAATGGGATAATTGATGATCTGAAAAGCTTAAGTTTTGAGTCATACATTTAATTTTTATTGACATTTTAACTTGCCTGCAGCATAGAGGCAGCATGGTACAATGGATATAGAGCCTGGGTTCAAATTCTGCCTCTTTCACTTGCTAGCTGTATGACCTGGGGCAAATAGATTTACCTCTCTAGGCCTCAGTATATTCATCTATAATATGGGGGAGGGCAGATTTTGTTGTTGTTGTTCAATTGTGTCCAACTCTTTGTGACTCCATTTAGGGTTTTCTTGGTAAAGATACTGGAGTGGTTTTGCCATTTCCTTCTCCAGCTCATTTTGCAGATGAGGAAACTGAGGCAAACAGGGTTAAGTGACTTGCCCAGGGTCACACAGCTAGTAAGTGTGTGAGGCTGGATTTGAATCCAGGTCTTCCTGACTCTAGACCTGAAACTCTATCCACTGTGCTACCTAACTGCCCTGGAGAGGGGGGGAGATAAATTAAATGGCCTCTAAGGTCCCTTTAAATTCTTATTCTTTTTTTTCCTTTTTTTCCCCTTTTGGTAAGGCAATGGGGGTTAAGTGACTTGCCCAGCTAGTGTCAAGTGTCCAAGGCTGGATTTGAACTCAAGTCCTCCTGACTCCAGGGCTGGTGTTCTATCCACTGCACCACCTAGCTGCCCCCTAAATTCTAAATCTATGATTCTTTGAAGGACACCTTAATATAATGGTAATTGTAAACCTAAATATGCACAACTGCCCTGCTGATTTCTAGAATTATATTATTAATTTAGACTTTTTGTAAAAGACAGAAAAACTTGTAACTGTAGCTATAATTCTTGGCTTTCATTCTATGACTTCCAATTTTAAGTAACTATGACTTCAATAAACATCTAAAAAGCAGTAAGCAGGATAAGCACTTAATTATGATTCTATGTAATGCCAGCTGCAATAGTATCAACCAAAGAGTCTACAGATACTTGTATTTTTAAGAGAGAACGGAACAGTAACAGTTTAACTGTTATTCTATGAAGAGTCTATGAGGAGACAGAGTTTAGATACTGTTAACTGTGATGGCTGACAAGAAACTACTGGAAGACAGAAGCAAAAAAAAGAGCAAGGAAAAAACTGAATTCCCTAGAAAATGGAGTTTGATTTTTATCTGGTGAAGAAACAGCAAAATATTTTTTCACAAGAAATTAGCCAGTTATCTTGAGATAACTGAATAGTGGGACTGTGTTCTGAGAAATAAGTTAGCAGTTATAATAACGCATAAAGATGACTTTGGCTGTAATCATTCTCATAGCTGATACATCGTTGACAATTATTTTTAAAATTACTTGTAACACTAATAAAAAGTACAACCAATAACTTTGATATTTATTTAAGCCTGGGAAATTAAAAGGTTTTGTGTGCATATACACATACAAGCTTCAATAGTTTAAAATAGCACTAAGACACAAACATTTGCCCCCTGCATATGCTGGCTTGCTCTCCCCTCACTGTTTATTTTCTCTCTGTCTCTGTCTGTCTGTCTGTCTTCCAAAACTCTTAGGTCTCTAGTACAGTTTTAAGCTATTTAACCTATTAAAGCTTAAAACTACACTAAGACTTCTGAGACATCCTGTATGTTGGGTATATATATATATATATGTGTATATATATGCATACGTGTGTGTTGTATGTATGTGTATTTGCAAACTTTAAAGCACTATCAAAATTTTAAAAAAAATTCTTCTTAGCTAAACTTCTGTCTATAAAAACCAAAGATGACTGGGAGGGATTATCTTAGAAATTACTGGAGAAAATTCCATTTTCTTAGAACAACTCAAAAGGGCATAAAATTGGTATATTCTTATTCCCATTCCCATTCCTAATTGAATCCATTTTATTGAAATTCACTGACCTTATCCAGTGCCTCTTGTACAACTGCTTCACTTTCAGTGTCTAAAGCTGAGGTGGCCTCATCAAGCAGAAGGATCTTGGGATTCCGAACCAGAGCTCGAGCGATTGCTATTCTCTGTTTCTGACCGCCACTCAGCTGGGCCCCTCTTTCTCCAACCAGAGTGTCAAATTTCTATTTTACAGGGGAAAAAAACCCACATCAGAGTAGCTGTCAACGTTCCTTCATAGATCACAGCCCCTGCAACAATGAACATCTACACATCATGTTCCAGATATACACTGTGAAGAAGGAAAGTCATTATCAGGTAAAGCCATTACTATCGGGTAAGCCACCATCATCAGGTTAAATGGCACAGTCCCTTGAAACCCAATAAATGTACCCAACCCAAACACACACACACTGTACCCAACATAAATGCAACACATATGCATACACACATATATACTTCTGAAGACAAAGTGCCAAAAGACCACCGGAAGGAGAGCAGTACTTTGGGTACAGCTGTAGGACTATGGGACAAAAGTCACCAAGGCCAACCTGCCTTTCCAATTCTTGCTAAGTAAGTCTACCAAGTAAGTCTACAATTGCTTGCTAAATTGTACGGGCATCTAATTGAAAGATGGGAAAAGAGTTTACTTGCCCCTTTCCAAATATCAGGTGAGCCTTGGGGAGTTGCCATTAATGGGAAAGGCAAAGTAGTCAAAATGACAGATTTGAGCAGAGAGATTTTTGCTCTATGAATACAGCTATGGGGCTGACTTACAAAGGAGCACAAATAGGTCACATTAGGCTGTGCTCTCTCACAAGAAGAGCTGTAACCACATGGGTAGGGAAGGATGTTTAGAAGCTACAGTGGAGTAGAGAATCAGCACATGGCAGTGAAGCAAAGAAAGTAGCTCAAAGAAGAATATCAGTTGTTCTATGTGGAAGCAGCAATCAGCAGCTCTGGAGACCGAGAAGTCTTCTACCTGAGCTAAAATTCAGGAGCCTGAATCTTCTGGATGATGTACCTTTGTTCCCTCTCCTACCACTGACACGGGGTGCTGAAAGACTGTGACCATATTTATATGGTGGTATGTTCCTTGCTATTTGCCCAGTCGCCCTGTTTTTAATTAAATGCTTTGTGCTTTGAATGAACATGTCCTCTGATTTGGTTTGACTTTTTAAAAACAGAAGTATTAGATTGAGGCTTATGAGTTTCAGTTTTGAAAAGCTACTGACCAAAGAGTGCCTTGAGCTTGGAGGAGGGGAGGGGAATGTAGTTTTCAGGGGCCCATGTTGAAGGGGAGTTTAGTTTACCCCACCTGCAACTAGGATGGAAAATTTCTTACATTAGGAAGTTTCATGATAAAGTCATAGGCATTGGCTTCCTTGACAGCTTTCTCAATCTCTTCCATGGTGACATCTTCACGGCCATAGCGAATATTTTCAGCAATTGTGGTTGCAAAGAGTACTGGCTCCTGACTCACAACTCCTGTAATTTCCCTCAGATACCTTACATTTAGGGTCCGGATATCCTGTCCATCAATGGTGACCTGGAAAAGAGGTGAATTCCACCTTCACACATCTGCGTAAGTCAAAAAGATTAATGCCAAGCCAATACCAAGAAACTGTGCGTATCATTAAATCATTTAGTTCAATTAAAGTCATTTGTTGAGAACACCACCATTTTCTCAGGCACCTCAGTTATCTTTGACTTGCCATCTCTCTTAGCCCTCATATTCAAATGCCAAGTGTTGCCATTAAAATTCCGAAATATGTCTCCCTTCTTTATCTTTTTCTCTTCTCACATTTGTTGCTGTTGTTCAGTTGTTTCAGTTGTGTCTGACTCTTCATGACCCCTTTCAGGCTTTTCTTGGCAATGATATGGCAGTGGTTTGCCATTTCCTTCTCCAGCTCATTTTATAAATGAGGAAACTGAGGCAAACAGGGTTAAGTGACTTGCCCAGGATCACACAACTAGTTAAGTGTCTAAAGTTTGATTTTGAACTCAAGTTTTCCTGACTCCAGACCTGGCACTCTATCTGTGCCATCTAGCTGCCCCCTTCTCACATGGCCACCGCCATCATCAAGGACTTAATTACCTCTTGTCTAGAAAATTTTGCTAGTTTCCTAATTGGTCTCTCTGTCTCCATCCTCTCTCCTCTATAATCTGTCCTCTATACAGTTGCTAAAATTAAAGTAGTTCTGATCATGGCACTCCTCCACTCAAAAATTCTCCGTGGCTCTGTTTTCTTAAAGGAAAAGAAAAACTCCTCAATATAATTTTTTTTTTGGCAATTGGTGTTAAGTGACTTGCCCACAGTCACACAGCTTGTAAGCATCAAGTATTTGGTCTGAGGCCGGATTCGAACTCAGGACCTCCTGACCTCAGGGCCAGTGCTCTATCCACCACGCCACCTAGCTACCCCATCAATATAACATTTAAACCTGACAATCCAATCGCAACTTACTTTCCAGCCATATTTCACACTGTTGTTCTTCATGTATTCCACATTCCAGCTAAAACTGCACTGCTTACTGTATCCCAAATTTAGCCATCTATATTCTGCCTCTATACATTTGCACAGTTCATCCCCCATGCCTAGAATACACTCCTTCCTCATATCTGTTAGTGTCCTTATCTTTTTTTTTCCAAGCTTAAGTCGGCGTTACATCCTACAAAGGAACATTTTCCTGATTCACTCCTTCCACAAATTACCTTAAAAAACTTATCTGTGGGGCAGCTAGGTGGTGCAATGGATAGAGCACTAGCCCTGGAGCCAGGAGGACTGGAATTCAACTCCAGGCTCAGACACTTGACACTTCCTAGCTGTGTGACCCTGGGTAAGTCACTTAACCCTGATTGCCTCAAAAAAAAAACCCAACAAAAAACAAAAACAAAAACAAAATTTATTTGTGCCTGTTATATTCTCCTAGCAGAATTGCTGTTGTTGTTCATCCTTCATTTTCAAAGAGTAATAATAACTTTACAACGGGTGATGTCTTGACTTGCAAGTGAGTTGGATTTAAGTGAGGCAGAGTTGCACAAAGCTGTTTGCCTCACTCTATCTTCCAGAGTCATCAAAGTCCAGTGGCAGGAAAAAAGTCAAGGTGACTGATGATTGCCTGGGACACAGTGGATGACCTTGGCATCTTCGATGTCTGATCAAGTTGGGTTTTTTTTGGGGGGGGGTGAGGCAATTGGCGTTAAGTGACTTGCCCAGGGTCACACAGCTAATAAGTGTTATGTTTTTGAGGTTGGATCTGAACTCAGGTGCTCCTAACTCCAGGGCTGGTGCTCTGTCCACTGAGCCACCACCTAGCTGCCCCTTCTGACCCAGTTCTAAGAACTCCATAGCATCTGCTTCTGCAGCCTTCATGGCCATTTAGAAGACATTGTTCTCATCCACCCATTCTTCCCGGGGGAACTCTTCACATGCCTGGGGGTAGACATTCTCTTTACTCACCAACAGGTTTGATGCCTATTGGTTACCCTCAACCTGGTGTAGTCCTTCTGGACAGTCAGTTTTACCAGGATGTAGCTGTTGCACATGCTACAGCTTCTCTGAGCCACAGGTGGACACCAAAGGTGGATGAACAGCCCTGAAAAGAGCTTGGCAAGCCCTCACACCAGAGGTACTAGTCCTCCCTGTTCATCTCATACACTCCATATGCCTGAAACTCTAACTACCTAGCACACAGTAGGCACTTTAAAAATATTGGTGGAATTGATTCTTACCACACCCTCGGTAGGATCATATAATCTCTGTATCAACTGAACAGTTGTACTTTTCCCACAGCCACTGTTTCCAACCAAGGCTACTGTTTGTCCACTGTTAACCTTGAGATTGAGGCCCTTCAAAATCTGTATGGACAGGTAAGAAAAAGACAATTGATATTAATACAATTCAGAAATAGAGAGACTACAAAAACTTGTGATTGAAATTTAGCAGTTTTCTGTTCAAAATCATGTTTCAATTTAAGCATGCCATTTGCCTTTCTTTTTATTGAATGGTCCCTAAACAAAACACAAGAACAAATGAACATAGGACCCTCCATAAAAACAACTCATCATTTTAATTTGTGCACTTATTTTTATATATGAGTTGGTTCCCCTGGAAACAAAGGCCCATCTTTTTATTACCAATATTCCATTAGCGTTGCTTAGCTGTGAGACATGGCACACAATGGTCTCTGAAAAACTGAAGATCAATGGCCAATGGCCAATGGAGAAGTACAAGGTGGAGTGTGCATAGGTTGCAATATATAACCATTGAGGAACTCCAAAGAAGAACAGGAATAAAAGATATTATCAGAGTAATGTATGACAGAAAGAGAAGATGGACTAGTCACAAGTTAACAAGGCAAAGGATGACAGCTGAACAGCCCAAGTCCTCCACTGGTATCCTCTCAACATTAGAAGAAAACAAGATAGCCTCCAGTGAACTTATGGGAAGACATAGGCAAGAGATAAATAGGGCAGGTGTTGATGAGTGAGGGTCCACATCACAGAAGGGAACACGAAGATTGATGAGATTACAGATCCATTTGAGTGAGTCTCTCACCTTAACCTCTTGCCGAGATGGGTAAGTGAAATGAACATTTTTGAACTCCAAGTTTCCACTAATGTTATCTGGTTTATGGCCACTCGTTGAATAGCTGTCAATACTTGGCTTCTAAATAAAATAGAACATGACAAAATAAGAATACTTTTAGGTTACCAAATTGAATTTTTCTCCCCAAGGAATTTAAGCACAATATATTAACGGACCAAGAGTAAGAGTGGACAACTTAATTCTAGTAATATTGTGAGATACCATCACCATATAGGGCAGAGAGACACAGTGTTGCATAATAAGGTGATGGAGTTGAATTCAGAAAGACCCATACTTATAGCTCACTGGTAACAATGAATACAAAAAAAATCCACAAGAAATAAAATACACAACCCATGTGTAATTTTTTGATGTCATGTGATGGCAAAACACTCTGTTATTGATCCAGCTCAGGAAGAGTTGGAAGCTGCTCAGAACATGGTAACCCATCAGAACAAGCACCTAAAGCCGCATCTGACTGTATAGATAAACAGGAAAAGAGTAGGTGGAGAGCACCTGAGCATATATGGATGTGGTGGCTGAAGAAGAACCATGTGACTATGGGCAGCCTCATGTGCATCTATCGCAACAATGACCACTCTCCCCCTCTCCCCAAAATAACAAAATCACAGGTTCTTGAGGTACTCATGTATAGTATAGATCTAACTCAAAGTCTTGGGCAGTCAGGTAGTATAGTGGATAGAGTGCCAGACCTGGAGTCAAGAAGACTCAGTCATCTTGGTGAGTTCAAATCCAGCCTCAGATACGTATTAACTATGTGACCCTAGGCAAGTCACTTAACCTTGACTCAGTTTCCTCATTTGCAAAATGAACTGGAAAAGGAAATAGCAAACCACTCTAGTATCTCTGCCAAGAAAACCCCAAATGGGGTCACAAGCAGTTGAACATGACTGAACAGTAACGCATAGCCAATTGATTTTCTCAATCATAACCTTGTGAGAAAATTTATACCAAGAATAAATATGGAACCAATTTTTTTGTTCCAATTTTTATGCCTATTTTTATGCCTACTGAAAATATAGTATTGTAAACAACAGAAGGAAGCCTGGAGGAGTAGCCGAGACACTGGTTCTAATCCTACCTCTACTAGTAAACCATTTAAACGCTAAGTATAGATTTCCTTTTCTATTAAATTGGGAGGTAAGTCTAGATGATCTTCCAAGTCCTATCTTGCTCAAAAACTCTTATGATTCTGTGATAAGATTTCTAATTAGTGACAATTCTAGACACCCAACATCAAGAATAACACATACTTCAAACTGTTTTCCCCCTTTGGATGGACCTGAAATTTCACTGGCACAAGGACCTCCTTCTATCTGTTCTGTAACTTTGCAGTCTTAGAGAGTAGCCTGGAGAAATGGGAGCAGGCATGCGCATTGAGAAGTTAAGTGACTTGCCCAGGGTCACATATCCAGCAGGTGTAAGAGGCTGGATTTGAAGCCCGGTTTTTCTTACAATGAAGTTCTCTGTTCTCTCTCTACTGCATCACACGCTCTCTTTTTAGCTGAAGAGATAGAAGGTGCTCTGTTATTCCAATAAAGAATAAAAATAACCTTGGTGCTTAGAACTCAGGAAAAAACAAACATACAGTCAAAATTCAGTAGTGTCTTAAAGCTTTTAAAAGCTGGTCATTCGACGGAACTCAGAAAATTTGAGCAATGCAGAGTCTTACAGAAATTGATAGAAAGGAAGCTTAGATTTAATTTAATTTAACTCATTCATTCTGCAAATGAGTAAACTGAGGTCCAGGACATTGAAATGGCCTGCCTAAGCCAGGAAGTGAAATGATTGGGACTAGAACCCAGGATGCCATTTTCATTTGAATACTTTTCTACTCAAATATACTACCAATTCAGAGTTGAAATCTTTTCGTCTTCTTCTTCTTTGTGAGGGGTTTACAATTTGCATTATCAAAGATTTATTCTTCAGAAAGTTTTAAGAAAATGTAACCCAGGGCTCAAGCCTGGGTATTTATACAAGACTCTTATCATTGATGGAAAGGATGATTATTCAGTGCTGCACGGAGGGTGGAGTTGGTGAGAGTCTGGAATCCTGGCCATCCTCTCTAGAAGCCAAAAACCAGAGAACTCTTGACGTTTAAGCAGGAGACTTAGCAAATGCCCAGGCTTGTGCCCGAGACTATATACATCAAATCAAATTTTCATTGTACCATGAATTCTTGCTATTTAAAATAACCTTATAATCACATATGTTCCATATGTTTCTCTTTTAAAATCTTATATTCATTAATATTTTTTGGTTTTCATATTATTCTCATTTCCAAACATAATTGTCCTCCCTCCTCTATCCAGCTAGACATTTCTTATAACAAAGTTAAAAAATAAATAAAAAGATAAAGAAGCAGTTCAGGAAAACCGATCAACATATCAATCATGTCTGACAATATATATGTAGGATATCTCTGCTCTACTGTGAGGCTGGTCTAATGCTAAGCCCTAGCTGACAGAGGGAACTCCACGTTTTACCACTGATATACTGGGAAGTTCTTGGGCATCCAACAGCTTGGCTTGGTCAGCTACATTTAAGGTTAGGGATGCAAGGTTAGCAAACTATCAGCTTAGCAAACTTCATCTGATCCAAGTATGTGAAGTTAGCAATCTTTAGTAATCACAGTGTAATTGGGGGGCGGGGAATGGGGAAGAGGTTGACCACAGTCCAGACTACTCACTGATTGACTGTCCCTGAGTGACTGAGAGGCAGTCCTCCTCCCACACAGTCCCTGTGAGTCTGCCCAGCAGCAACAATTAGATAGAAGGGCAGAAACCAAGAAGATCTAGGCTTTCAATTGAGGTATGCTGCAAACCTAGCCACCATTGGTGTGTGCTTGCGGGACCACATATACTTGCATGCCTGTAAGTAATAAACTGCTTGACTTTTGATCCTTTACACATTTATGTTCCTTCTTGGCCCCTTGGTACCAAATTTGGATTTTCATATATTGGATTATATTAAGGGAATATAAAATGTCTACTTTAAGATAAGGATGAAGAGAAGGGTATGAGATATACTTTCAATTGGTGTGTGTGTATGTATTTGGATATGAATGCACATATTATATAAGAAAAGTTGAGACTTACATTATCAATTATCTTGAAGACGACATAGGCTGCACCTCTTGCATTAGCAAAAGCTTCAATGCTTGGTGAGGCCTGTCCAATACTGAAGGCTCCAATTAATACAGCAAAGAAGACCTGGGGAAATAGGAAGAAAGTTATATGAGATTATTTAGTCCTTTCTAGGACTCTAAGCCTTTCTACTGGGCAACTTCTTTTCCTTTTACATAGCCATTTATTTTTAACATTTAATCTTTATTTTTCTCAATTACACACAAACACAAATTTTTAAAAATTTATTTTTTTAAATTGAGTTCCATATTCTCTCCCTCTTCCTTGAGAAGGTAAGCAATTTGAGGTAGATTATACATGTGTAATCATGCAAAATATTTCCATGTTAGTTACGTTGCAAAAGAAAATGCAGACCAAAAAACCCCAAAACACCAAGAATAATAAAGTTAAAAGAAAAAAGTATGCTTCAATCTGCATTCAGACTTTATTAGCTCTTTCTCTAGAGTCCTTCAGAATTGTCTTGGAGTCATTCATTTAAGAAGAGTTACCACAACTGAAAAAGTTACAGGAGAAACAAAACAAATTAATGGCCTTAATTATTGACAATATGGAATTTGGAAAGTTATCTCTTCCATGAAATAAAAAAAAAGTTTTCAGAAGAGTACATAAAACTATTAGAAAGTTCTATGATTTAACGTTATGCAAAGTCACATATCTAGTAAGTACTCAAGTGTCTGAGGCCGGATTGAACTCAGGTCTATCCTCACTCCAGGACTGGTGCTCCATCCACTGTGCCACCTAGCTGCCCCTAGGTTGTCTTTTTAAAATACATTTTCATCTGCAAAATGTGGGCTTCTGTCTTTTTTTTTTTAACAGTATTTACTATCATTTCAAAATGAATTGTAATAAATCTTAGAAAAAGGTGGCTTGGCTCTCCTTCTGCAAATTTGTGCATAATTAATTCCCCCTTGTGGATTACTGACACAGTGATGAGTACAGAACCCTTTTAGGATTTGGCTGGCCAGGTAGAGAAGGCAACAGCTATGCCCCTGGCCTTAGGTATACCATTATAGTTTTCTCTTCACTTCACACCCACTCACCTACATGCAAAAATGGAAGAAATCTGGAGACAGAAAACCGGAAAACTCTAACGCCACAGTATTTAGTAGTTACTGATTCTTTACAGGGTTTTACAAGCGTTCAGAGTACATATGGGAAGTGCTTACTAAGAGTTAAGAGTAAGATTGCCCATGAAGACCTCAAGTCCAGAGACTAAGGCATTTAGTTTTTGTTGTTGTTGTTGTTTGTTTTTTTTTTTTGCTTAGGCAATAGGGGTTAAGTGACTTGCCCAGGGTCACACAGCCAGTAAGCGTTATGTGTCTGAGGTCGGATCTGAACTCAGGTCCTCCTGAATCCAGGGCCAGTGCTCTATCCATTGTGCCACCTAGCTGCCCTCAGAAAGGTTTTTTTCTTAAAGCTGTTGCTGGTCTTAAAGATGAGACAAGAGTAGCTTCTTGTCTAAAAGAACTATATATATAAAATAATCCCCTAAACAATTTTAAAATAAAAGAGCATTCTAGAAATAGAACTATAAACCAAAGACTTTCGTTCAATCTGGAAGTGGTGAGAAGCACTAAAGCCATGAGTCCAATGGGACTTTAGGTGGCACCAGCCAGAAAGATGACATGTCCAGAAGGGACTCTCCTTGTAGTGCAGAGACCTAAGTTGCTTCTCCACATGTGAGCCCCAGACATGTATATTCCCTACATGTTTACCCATTTATATATCTACTCTTCTCACTAAATGCCTTTGCTTCGAACTAATTGTGTCCTCTGGATATTAAAGGTCAATGTTTAGGGGCTTATAAGTCATGGTTTTTAGTATATGCAGACCCACAAAGTACTTTGAATGAGACACAGAGAGTACCTTGAATCTGAGTTAGCCTGTCTCTGGGGTAACCACCTGTTGAAATAGAAGAGCCATCAAAATACACTGGATGCCTCCAGGATCCCTTAACATGGAAGCCAACTAATTAGAAAGGATGATTCAGAATCTTAAAAAGATAAAAAGAGACCAAGAAATAATAAAACAAAATATAAAGAATGAAAAAATAGAAGAGAATGTGAAACATAAGAAAACCATCTGATCTGGAGAACAGATCAAGAAGAGAAAACATAAGAATAATCAGACCACCTAAAAGCTACAATCAAAAAAAGAATCTTGATACAATAATACAAGAAAGAATCAAAGAAAATTGTCTTGAAGTGTTAGAACAAGACAGGAAAGTAGACGTAGAAAAAAAAATCCACTGATCACCATCTGAAAGAGATGAGGAAAACCTACAGGAATATCATAGTCAAATTCTCAAAACTCTCAACTCAAGGAGAAAACATTACAAGCAGTAAGAAAAAACTTTTTAAATATCGTGGCACCACAATTAGAATCACACAAGACCTAGCAGTGATGAGACTAAAAGACTGAAGGTTTTAGAACACCATATATTGAAGAGCAAAAGAACTGGGGATATGGCCAAAAATATTACACCCAGCAAAGTTAAGCATAATCCGGAATGGAAAAAATGGACATTTAATGAACTGTCAGACTTTCAAGATTTTGTTTAAAAAAAAACTTACTTAATAGAAGAGTTGACATATAAGATTCAAGAGGAATATAAGGTACATAACAAAGACTAATAACACGGGACCCAATAAGGGCAGACTGTTTACTTTTTGTAAGAGGAAATGTAAAACATATGTTTTAGATTGTTATTAGTTATTGGGTAATTTGAAAGAAAGGTTGGGGTAGACCTGAATATGATAGAATCCTAAAAAGTAAAACTCTTAAGGAAAAGGTAGAAAGAGTAATTATCTTACATAAATGAGGTGCAAGAGGTAGAACTGACACTGAGGAATTAGATGGGGGAGGAGGGCTGGTAGTTCTGGAACCCTACTTTCATTGGGAATGAGTTTAAGAGGGAACAATACATATGTATCTAGAAGGTTATAAAAGTCTCCTAAATTTACAAAGAGATAAAAAGATAGCGAGGGAAGAGAAGATAACAGAGGGATTTTCAGAGGGAAAGGTGAAGGAATAGGATAAGGAGGGTACAGAAGGATGTCTAGATTAACAGGAATAGTAAGATAAGGGATTCTTGGAGGGCAATAGGTTAAGTAATAGCAGGGTGAGGTAGCAGGTAGGAGTAAAGTAGAGGAGTCAGAAGGGATAGGAAATAAGAGATACACACAAACATAAAATAAAGATCAGGAGTAGAAATTATTGGGGGGAAAAGGCCAGGGTAGGAATCATGATCTCAGATAAAGTTAAAGCCAAAGTAGATTTAAACTAAAGAGAAAAATAGGGAAACTACACTACATGTCAGTCATATTAATCAATACTATTTTAGACTATTTAAAACAATGAGACAGTATAAGGTTGGAATATTGCTGTGGTGTAGGAAATGACAAATTGAGGGACTTAGAAAAATATGGAAAGACTTGGACTTACGAAGGAAGACGTTATCCACCCTTAGAGAAACAGAGGACAAATAAATATAGTATGATCTTATATAGATATGTATGAATGTATATGTGGCATAGGAGTATATAAGTGACACATTAATGCCATCAAAGGGGACAAACATGAAAATTAAAAAGAAGCAAAGACAGTCTGATATGAAATTATGCAGAACAAAGAAGGCTGAAGCAAAAAGATCACATACTTTGACTATGACCATGTAAACAGCAAAGGAAGAAAGAAAGAAAGAAAAAAATCTGCTAAGTACACAGATGGAACAGAGATTGGAAGAGGACAAACAGAAGATGTCACTGTTGATTTTAGGTTTTAGAAACTTAGACATAAAAGGTAACACATTTATAATGTAAGTAGTTAAAAGTTAATTGGTTTATATTTTTGTAATGTTTCATTTATTTATTGAATTTCTTATTAGGCTTAAATAAATTTTAAAACCTATTTTTTTGGACATAGCCAATGTAGGAATTTGTTTCAAGGAGTTTCTTTTTCCTAATAGGGCCAGGTGGAAGGGAGAGAAAATAAATGATTACTAATTTTAAAAATAAAATTTAACTTTAAAAATCTTATTTAGATGATTAGATAATTTATTTGAACAATCTACTGAAAGATAAAGATCGTAGATTATATTTTCAAAGGATGATTGATTTTAAGGTGGAAGGGGTCTCAGAGGCCATCTAGCCCACCCTTGTTTTACCCATGAACCTATGGGTGCCCAAGGAGATTTTAGTGACTTGTCCAAGGTCGCACAGATGGTAAGCCTCAGAGGTAGAATTTAAACCCAGGACCTTTCGCTCCTGGGCTAATGCTATTTAACTTCATGATACAGCCAATTCCTTTTCTACTTTTCTAATTAGTATCTATATATTCCTACTTTTATCAGTTATTGTATTATTCCTCCATTCTATTAAACACAGCTCTTGTCAAAGCAAAACAAACTCCCTAATAATTTCTCAAGCAAATGCTAAGCAAACACACTTACAGTGAGTACTTCTCCAATAGTGTATTCTGTAGCGATGATCAAAGTGGTCCCATACCAGAATGCCAGCGCATATGAGGCATATATCAGCAGGAAGGCAATTCCCATTGAAATGTTGGCTGTAATAGCTTTCTTTATCCCAAAATTTTTAGCGTCTTCTAAATTTTTGTTGTACCTGAGAAAGACAGCAGCAATTAAAAAATATATACCCCCTCATGAACAACAGTCAGTGCAACGCCAGGGATGTCCTAAACATGCATAATGCCACACCAAATATTCCCCATCGATCCAACATCTGGTAACTAAAAAATTATGCCTATATTCTCACTGAAGCATTAACTTTTATCCTTGGAGAAAGGATGACTCCTGATGTCGAGACATAACTTCTGTAGCTCTTTTTATTCTTAATTTTAAAAGAACACTATTGATTCACTTTGATTTGAAAGTTATCAAGCAGAAAATACCCATGAGATCTAGATACGGAGAGAATAAAAGCTCGTTTACAACATGCAGCCAAGTGGCATTTTCAGAAACGGTTGACAGTTTATACCAATATCCATCAATGATCTTCTTGACTTTTCCATGTGCTATATTATATTCTTTCTTTTCAGCTTCATTTAACAGCCTCCTTTTTCCTCACTCATTTCAAATAAGTTAATTTGCCTTTGTAACCTTTTAAGATTAATTCTGTCAAAATAGGACTCTTCTAGCCTCAGATACTTACTAGCTGTGTAACCCTGGGCAAGTCACTTAACCTTATTTGCCTCAGTTTCCTCATCTGTAAAATGGATTAGAGAAGGAAATGGCCAACCACTCCAATATCTCTACCAAGAAAACCCCAAATAGGTTCACAAAGAGTTGTACACGACTGAAAAACAACTGAACGATTGAAATATATATTTATTTAAGAACTACGTATGTGCAGAATTAAAATGGTTATCAACATGATTCATGACTAGATTTGATAATTAAACAAAATCCTTTCATATTAATAATAACTGGCACTTACATGGCACTTTAAGGTTTGCAAAGTGCTTTATAATTATTATTTTATCCCTACAATAGCCCTGGGAGGTAGCTGCTATTATGAGCCTCTTTTTACAGATGAAGAAACTGAGGCTGAGAGATGTTAAGTAACTTCCCAAGTACCATATAGCTAGTAAGTATCTGAGGCTATATAACATCATTTATATACAAAACAACTCCTATGTCACTAAAAATCTTTGTATTCTTTCTACTTGTAGTTCTACATTATAACAAATATGAATTACATTAAAACAAATATTTAAGTTGGTATTTTGATAACTGAAGCGTGGGATATATAAGCTCTCATGAAGATCAGCCAAAATTAAAACCCACTCAGTGACTTCATCTCTGAGTGACAACAAGCATGATAATTTCTCCTCAGTTTAGTACTGTTATTTCTCTCGGCTAGGTTTATTAGCTTTCTTATTGGATCTATTTGTGACAGAATTTAACTACTGTAGAAACTATTTATCCTATCCAATCCCAAGCCTCCTCTCCACCCCAAATGCCAAACTGGCAGTTTCAAAACTATGCAGCAAAAGATGGTAAATAAAATGAATACGATTGCCCTGTCATTTGAAGAAACCTCCCAAAATAAAGAGCCAGAGTGGGGTCCTGAGTGGAAAGTTCCCTGTATTTGGAGTCTGAGCCTCTTAGTTCAAATGCTGGCAGCTAAACTCTTTGAGACTTAGTTTCTTCATCTGTAAAATGAAAAGACTGGGTTAGATCATTGGTTCTCAAAGACTTCTGGGACCCTTTCAGCATATCTCAAGCCCAAAACTATTTTCATAACAATACTAAGGCATTATTTGCTTATAAAAATACTCCTCCCTTTTCCAACTACATATCCCATATGAAGCTCGATTTTCTTGATATACTTCAACCAAAACAGCATATCAACATAACAACAGAACAAATGCAAAAGCAGATATGAGAATCCAGCTGTCTTCTATTAAGCCATACATTAAAGAAATTTGCAAAAACATGCAAAAAACAACCTCCTCTTTTGTTTTGGAAAATAGTTATTTTTCATTAAAATGTTATTTATATTAACATGTAGTGAGTTTATTATTGTTTCTTTAAAATGAATTAAAATATAAATTTTAAACATTTATCAGTTTTAATTTCTAATATGGTAAATATTGATAGATATGATTCATATAAACAAAAGCTGTTTGGGGTCCTCAATAACTTTTAAGAGTATAAAGGAGTCCCGAGGCCAAAAAGTTTGAAAACCACCAGACTAGATGGCCTCCTAAAGGTTCCTTCCAACTCTAAATTTTATGATCCTGTAATTTTTTAAAAAGGACAAAACACATTTTCCCAAATAAATTCAGAAATCCCCACCTCCTTCAATAAAATCCTGGATCTCAAAAAGACTATTTTTTATTTATGAACTTCAAAAAGTTAGAACCTTCTAGCCGGTTGTTCATTACCCAATCTTGTACTTACAGGCAGCCATTACTAGGCATGTTAGCCATGCTAATGATTAAAAAACAACAACCTCAGAACTGAAGCTCACACCTCTAATCTCATGTATTTCATGTGCTTGCTTACCCAGGCTAATGCTGGTGGAAGCCATTTCACTGACATCATGCTGTCCCAAGTAGTCAGAAGAAAACATTATGCATAAGAAGAAGCAACAATGAAAAAGAAAATAATTTAGATTCCAGAAAAGATTGATAAGTGAAAGGGGGGGGGGAGAAGAAAAAGGTAACTATAAAAAGAACTATTTTCTGTTCTTTTAACAGCAATTATAATAACTCAGGAGGAATGTGGTAAAGTGGATAGAATGCTTGGTTCAGAATCAAGACAACCTAAATTCAAATCTTGTCTTCAACCTTTACTAGCTATGTGACTTTGGGCAAATCACCAGACCACCTTCTGTGTTAGGCAGCTCCATAGGATTCACCTGCTAAGTCACAGGGTATCACAATCTCTATTTGGGGAGGCATAACCTATTATGACAAAATTACAGATCTGTCCCATATTCACAGCTCACATTTGAAAAAGTCTTTATAGTTTGTAAGGCGCTATATATGTGACATCTCAGTGGGTCCTCAAATCAATTCTAAGAGACATATGGTGTTGAAGAAGTGTTCTCCTACAGTATTCTTCACCCTTGGTGGAGTAGGGAGGCAAGAAGTGGAATGAATTTCCCAAGGTGGTGAAACTAACAAGAATACAACCAAGATCTTAACCCTTTTGGGTTTAATTGCTTAAATTTTTTTTGAGTAACAGTGATTTTAAAAATATTTTAAAAGTAATCCTTAACAACAGCCATTCTTTCCCATCTTGGATTTAGATGGTTTGTTTTTCCTTCCTAAATATACTACTACCTTACACTTGTTCTTAGGAGGAGAAACTTCAGCAACAAAGTTGAGCTTGTGCAATGCCATCTCCAATGTACCAAAATTGTTTAAACTTTTAATGTTTTCTCCAAGGTGCTAGCTACTCCTGCTTGCATGCATTCACTCCATGAGCAAGTCCTCTGTTTCACTAACGAGTTCTCTGTCAAAAATGTTAAGAACAATGGAGTGGTCCCTGGAGCACTCCCTGACCATTTACCACAAAGCAGATTGGCCAGCCCCCAATGTTGTCAAGTCACTAGGCAGAGTTCCAAGAGAGAAAGTCCATTAAATCTTGTAAGCAAGAAAAAAATATTGCTTACTCCCCTTGAAAAGCATAAAAAGTGGAGGTCACCATCCAGACTACCGGGCAAAAGTCCAGTTCTCCTCCAGGCTAGTCCAAAACCTGTGCCAGGTTGAATTAATGGTTTTTTAATCAATACCGCCACTGATCTGAATGTCACTCCTAGGATCCTGCTGTATACATATGAAATAATTTTGGCATTTCAGCTACAAGTCTTAAATCTGCTTCAGAGACCACTTGGGACAAAACTAAAGGCTTTAACAGCATAATGCAAAATTATTATTTTCCCTTAAGCTAACAGGCTGTTTCTTAGTCATGAAAAAGCTTTTCAGGAAGCTAGGTGTTCTCGTGTTCTCTGTCTTCGAGATGTTTGAAAATTGATTTCATTCTTATACTCAGTGATAAATAATCAAGGTCATTTACTCACTAATGTGCTTCAAAATTAAATATGTTCTTTTGTCTTCAGAACACACTGGAGATGTTATTTCAAATTTCAAGATAAATAAGTCAACTTTATTTGTCCCATAACAGAAGGAAACAAGGGCATTAGTAACTCCAAACAGTAAAATAACTAAAAATGTTATGGAACACATTATGGATAGGGCTTTCTTCCCCTGTAGATTTACTATCCTAATAATGACTGGCTTAGGCTAGAGTGAAAATTATTTTGCATGCCTTTTGTGTGCAAACCAACTGTGTGATAAGCTGCTATAACTGATCAGAGAACTGTCGGTCATAATACATTTATGCATAATGCAAATTATGACTACTTTTGAATACCAGGAATCTATTGGAAGACTATCTCTAACATGTCATATTTTATGGAAATACATATACCAGTGCAGTGGATAGAGTGCAGAGCCTGGGTCACAAAGACCTGAGTTCAAAACAGGCCTCAGACACTTATTATGTGACCTTGGGCAAGTCACTAACCCTATTTGCCTCAGTTTCCTCATCTGTAAAATGAGCTGGAGAAGGAAATGGCGAACCACTCCAGTATCCTTGCCAAGAAAACTCCAAATGGAATCACAAAGAATGGAACACAACTGAACAACAACAAAAATACCATTAAGCATCATAGAAATATTTTCTTTATATGCAATATAATAAAACAAGGCATACAGGGAAATATTAAAAGTACAACATTTTTTTCAGTCAGCTTTGAGAGAGAGAGAAACCAACCTTTCCAGTTCTTTCTTTTGTCCTCCAAAAGCAATTACAGTTCTAATTGCCGCTAGGACCTCTTCAGCTACTGCTCCAGCTTTTGCATATGCTAATAATTCTTTATCAGTAAAGGAAGACAGTACCTGTTTGAAAAAGAGATAGAAAAATCCACTTTTGATCCCATGATTTAGAAACCCCCAATCAAATTCTCCTCTTTTGACTCATGCTGTTATGGTGATGACCCCTGGGTGTTCTTAAAGGTTATACCAGTGGAGGGCCACTTCTGGGAAGTTCAACGCAGCTGGAAAGACTCAGTGATGAACTGCTGTCTGAGAACCAGCCTAGCTAAGTGGTGAGAGGCACATCACCAGAAGACTGGCCACAGAATGATCTGACCCCAGCAACTATGGAAAGGTAGAGACGTTGCTATTTGAGTTGGTGGTAGGTACAGCCTAATTCAATTCTTCAAAAAACATTTTGGCCCAGTGGTTCTTAACCTGGATCCATGGAAAGAAAGAAAAAGAGAGAGAGAGAGAGAGAGAGGAAGGAAGATATGCACATATACAAGACAGATAGATAACTACATTTCAAAATAATTTATTTCTTTTGCAATTGTATATATTGTATTTTAAAACTTTTCATAACCTGTCCCCCCACCTTTCCAGTCTTCTTATACCTTACACCTTTCCACTTATTCTGCAGTCCAGTGACGCTGATCTCTTTGCTGTTCCTCATACCAGTACTCCATCCCCTGAGACTTTCACGGGTTGTGTTCCATGCCTGGAATTATCTGTCTCCTAGCTCTCTTCCAGTCTCAGCTAAAGTCCTACCTTCTACAAAAAGCTTTTCCTAGTCTTCCTTAATCTGAGGTTCCTTCCTTCTAAGATTATCTCTCACTCACCCCGTATATACCTTATTTGTACATCACTGATAGCATGTTATCTCCCCCAGTACATTGAGAGCGCTTTCAGAGCAAGGACTGTTTTTGTCTTTCTTTGTATTCCCAATAATTAGCCCAGTGCCCGGCACGCTGTAAGTGCTTAATAAATGCTAGCTGCTTGTCTTCATTTAAAAACGTCACCCTGAGAAGGGGTCCATGACATACAAAAAAGGCTAAAATATCTGGTTTAGGAAGTTATCACATCTATCCCTCTACACAAAGTAGCCATGTGCAACTTTTCTCTCCTGGATATTATGTAATGGGAGAGAAAGGGAGAGAGAAGAACTGTGTATACCTAAAGGCAATTTATGTAGGGCAGAGTCTATTATTACAGCTCGGCCGTGTTGGACCAGGAATGAAGAACAGAGGGCCGGGAAAGTCAGGTTGGTTTCAAAGGCTGCAAGCCTCGAGGAGATGCCTAATGCCAGGGGCAACAAAAAGCTTCCTTTGTCATCATCCATGGGGATGCCATCTAGCCAGCTACCTAGAAAGCCTCATTGATCTTTGATCTATCAATACCCTCTACTGCCATTATTGTAATTAAGTCAGTGCTCTAAAACTTTCAATTAAAACAAAAAGGGCTTTACATTTTAAACACCTTCTTAATTGTCTGTACCTAGACCAGCAATCAATCAAATACACATACACATTACCACATAGCCAATTAACTATAGTAGCTCTTATTAAACTTTTAAATCATTCAGATAATTCTGGGATATATTTATATACATATACATATACATATATGTGTGTGTATATACATACATATATACACATATATACACACATACATATACATATATACATACATATATACACATACATATATGTATATAAACACCATCTTTAGGTGGCCTGATAGAAAGAGCATTAAACCTTGAGTCAGAGAGACCTAAATTCAAATACTTCTTCGAACATGTACTAGCTGTGTGACCCTAAATAACCACTTAACCTTTGTCAGCCTCAGTTTCCTGAGGGATGGCAAAATGGGGATAATAATAGCACCTCTTTCACAAGGGTGTCAAAGATCAAATGAAATAACTTAATAATAATTGTTAACATTTATTTATAAAGTATTTTGTAAACTTTATGGCACTATATAAATGCTAGAAATTATTTAGAAATTTTCTATCCTTATCTACGCCAAAAAACTTTAAATTAATCAGATGCCCTCCTCCTTCCCCCACACACCACTTTTAATGGAAAAAAGCAAAATGACAAAACACATTAAAAAAAAAAAACGAACCTTGAACTGTTATCAGAGATTGAGCATATGTAAAGCACTTTGCAAACATTAGCTACCAAAACGCTATCTATTATTAGTGATTAGTAACATCCCAGATTTTTGTTGTAGGTCTGTGGACTTAACCTCCTCTCCCCATCCTTCTAAAGCATTAGCACTGTCTACTTACAACCAATATATAAATGAGGCAGTGGCCATAATGCCTCCCTGCCAGCCTCAGGGGCACCACATACACAGAGACTGTGTGACCTTAGGCAAAACATTAAACTCTCAGCACTCTAGACAACTTTCTAAGGCTATAAATAACAGAATAAAGGCTTACCTGTATTGATAGAAGGAGTTTCCCTATAGCATATTATAGGCCCAGACCAAAAACCAAACAAATAAATAATGAAGATAATAAAGGCTTACAGTAGCATAATGTTTTATAGTTTACAAAGCATTTTAGATATGTTATCATATTTTATTCTCTAAGGTAGAGAGGTAGAGAAGTAATATAAGATAGTTAAAAGAGCATCAAAAAACCTAGGTTCAAATCCTAGCTCTTCCCCTAAAGAAGATGTGAGACAATATTATTTAACTTCTCTAAGATTTTGTGTCATGGACCCTTTTGGTGGTGTGGTTAAACCTATAGAGCCCTTCTTTCCTACCAGTAAAATAAGAAAGTTGGCCTAGATTATCATTAAGATCACATCTAAGCTCAAAATCTCTGATCCTATGATTCTAGAGTTATTATTATGCTCGTGAGAAAACAAAGGCCCAAATATTTCTCAGTCACACACAAGTGGAAAGGACTAGGTTCAAATCTGCAACAGCACCTGTACACCACTTCTCCTTACTAAGAGGAATAGCACTATATAATATAGAAAGATAAGTTATGTTCATCATCCTGAACTTACTAAGTCAATAAAGTGAGCTAATTCATTTGGAATTGATTCCCCCCCCCCCACTTAATAGTATTATATTTTTCCCCATTACATAGACAACTAGTTTTCAACATTCATTTTTTTATAAGATTCTGAATTCCAAATTTTTCTCCCTCCCTCCCCTTCCCCTTTCCAAGACAGCAAGCAATCTGATACAGGTTATACATGTACAATCCTGTTAAATATATTTCCACATTAGTCATGTTGTAAAAGAAGAATCAGAACAAAGGGGAAAAACCATGAGAAGGAAAAAAAATGGTGAAAATAGTATGCTTAGATCTGCATTCAGATAGTTCTTTCTCTAGATGTGGATAGCATTTTCCGTCATAAGTCTTTTGGAATTGTCTTGGATCATTATGTTGCTGAGAAGAGCCAAGTGTATCATAGTTGATCATTACACAATGTGGCTGTTACTGTGTACGACGTTCTCCTGGTTCTGCTCACTTCACTCAATGTCAGACCATACGAATCTTTCCAGGTTTTTCAGAAGTCCACCCGCTCATCGTTTCTTATAGTACAATAGTATTCCATTATATTCATATACCACAACTTGTTCAGCCATTCCCCTATTGATGGGCATCCCCTCGATTTCCAGTTCTTTGCCACCACAAATAGGGCTGCAATAAATATCTTTGTACGTGTAGGTCCTTTCCCCATTTTTATGATCTCTTTGGGATACAGCCCTAGAAGTGCTATTGCTAGGTCAAATCATATGCACAGCTCTTTGGGCAAAGTTTGAAAGTGATTTTCAATCAACAAGGATGAAAAGAAAAAAACATGCTGTTTAACCACCATCACTTCACCAAAATGTCAATTAATCCATCAGTGAGGGATGATGTTGGTCCCTCGATTCCTCAAGCATCCCAGTACATTGGAGTTTATTTTAGGCATTATGTATTAGGCATTTTGAGAGGCACTATGGAGTAGAGGATAGAGCCTGCTTCAGAGTCAAGAAGATGAGTCCATCTCCAGCCTCTAACATGTACTATCTCTTTGACCACGGGCAAGTCCCCCAACCTCTTAGCTTCCCAGGTGACCCTTGAAGGCACCTTTCTCAGTGTCATGGACCCCTTTGGTGGTATAATTAAGTCTATGGACCCCTTCTCAGAAGAATGTTTCCAATCACAGTATATAAATTAACTAGCTTTACAAAAGGAAGCAAATTCTATTGAAATAAATTATCAAAATATTAAAGTAAGTTCACTGACTCCAGTTTAAGAACTCTTGTTCTTTGACTGAAACCTGAAGAACAGGGCTGCTTCACATTGGTAGAGAGTTTCCTCACTGATGAAATTACAGGTTCAGACCCCCCAAAATTACATATTGCATTGTTGCTCCATATACATTTGGTGTTGGACTGTCGCTGCACAACAAGGAACCTTAAGTATATACAAAGAACATCTAATACATCAGAGGTTAAATTGGGTTCGTGTCAGAGGGCCCACAACAAAATTCCACATCCTGGAAAGAGTGATGAAATAAAAGCCACACTCTAAAGTCAGTATATCATTTTTTCTAAATTTCTCCAACGATTATAGCCTGAATTTTCTTTGGACTTGGGTCCACTTCCTTCAGTCTTCCTTTATTTTAGCATCCCAAGGTTATACCTAGGGAATACAGAACTCAAGGCTAATCACACATGGTATGTTTCTCCCTCACCTTTAAAACATTTTCCACTGGTCATAATGAATATCAAGAACAGTCATCTGTTTGGGAAAATAATTCACCAAACAACAGCAATGAACTGAGAGCATCATAGTACATGCAAAGAAACTCTGCTTCTCCAGTCAGAGTACATGGGGCTCAAATGCTGCCTCTGACACTTGCTCCCCTCCCCATGGCATCTTTAGCAAGTCGCGTGACCTCTCTAGGCCCCAGTTTCTTCATCTGCAAAATGAAGAAATGGCGTCTGCGATCCCTCCCAGCTCTAAATTTATGACTCTGAAACCCCAAAGGCAGTTTTACTAGCTTTTCTCTGGCAACAGTGGGAAACCGGTGGACTCCTTGTATTTCAAAAGAGCTGTGATTTCCTCTATATGGATGGACACACACACACACACACACACACACACACACACACACACACACACACACACACACACACACACACACCCTTCCACTGATCTAGACTAAAGTCCCTCCTTGTCTCAGTAGCCAGGCTTCATGAGATTCTATGGCAGAAAATGACAAATGATGAAGTGTATTTCTGAGGATGAGAGTCCCTACACTTAACTCTCTTGGTCCTTTGATGGAGAATACACAATTGGTTCTGTATTCAAGGACTTTCTAGCTTGGCAGGGCCTCCCAAAGCTTGCCCTACATAGGTATGGCCTTACTGTAGGGTTGACCGGCAGAAGACTTTAGTGGAGGATAGGCTAGTTACCTAAATCAGCTTCGGGCTTCTTAATTTTTTAAGCACCAGTAGGGTGAACTTTCCTCCCCATATCTACTGCCCTACCAGCAGTATTACAGACCTTCCCTCCCCATCCCACCCCGATTTCCATCCCCAAGCTCAATGCCAAAAGCACAATTCTCCATGTTAGTAGTCTATCATTAGGATTTTAAAGAAACAGCAATTACAAATTTATAGCGTAATTTACAATCACAAAGATACACACACAGTCTCATTTGACTAACTATCAAGGAGACACCTCTGCTACGTCCCATCTATTCTTAATGGTAGAGCCAAAGCCCAGTGAACAGACAAGTCAGGGGGCTGTTGGTTTATTAAGTATGGCAGGTGTGTTTTATCTATGGGTGAAAAACACTTCTGTAAAAATTCACGGGTAGAATCTATCCCAAACACTAGAGATCTAATATGTATATACTTTATATTTATTGGTGTACATGTTACATCACTCCAATAAAACATAAGCTCCTTGAAAAAATTTTTTTTTCAAATTTTAAAAAAATTTACAGGTTTTACATACCTTTGCCCAGAGGGCAGCTGACGCGCCTAGGACAGGACTAATGGCCAGAATCACAAGTGTTAGCTTCCAGCCTGTTGCAAATCCAACTATAAAACCTGTGAGGAATGTTGCTACTGCTTGAAAGAGTAATCCAATTTTGTCTCCAATTCCATCGCTAATTTTGGAGACGTCACTAAAAGAAGAATATAAATACTACTGTCAAAAATCGTAAGTATTTAAATCATTTCTATTGGGTTTAAGATTATTTCTGATACTGTAAAATAGGGGTCAATGCTCCTTTTAATTTTTGTTCTACCAAGTTGAATACTTACTACACAGAGCTGTGACTCACAGGTGTGAATATGTATGTGTGGTCCAAAACAACTGAGCAAGGACCTTTCAGATAACTCAGGAGGTCTCTATCCCCAGGGGAAAAGTTAAGAAGCAAACCACCCATATTCACATTTATTTTTCATCATTATTGATAGGTCTAACAATGCATACCATCATATTAAAAAGCATACACCAAATGTGAGTTGTCAGCGTAATGAGGACAGGGTCAACTGCGTACACTCCATAATGTCATTCAACAATCACTATTAAGCACCTACAAGTATAAGCTCCACTTCATGATATACAAATAAATAAGAACACAGTTCCTGTCTTTAGGGCACTTACAATCTAGTAATTATTTCCTTCAGAATTAGTCAGATCTCTTAAAAACAGGAGGAAATTTTAAAGTCACTGAACAGAAAGAATCATCTTATAAGTTAAATATCCAATAATATGCTTACTCAGTCAGTCGAGTGTTCAGTTCCCCAACATCATGGACATCAAACCAACCAATTTCTTGGCGCATTATTGAATGGAAAAAGTTTTGTCTAATTTTCTTAACTTGTCGTCCAGCAGCTAAGGTCCAGAATGAAACTTGAAAGTAGGCAGCAACGAGCACCCCAAAACCTACTCCAGTATAATACAATGCATACCTGGAAAACACCAAAAAGCACTTCAAATATTTCCTTCAGTTAAAACAAGTCTTTTAGCGGTAATTTAACTGTTCCTACTCTCTCTCAATTTTCCTAATCTGACCATCTTTAAAAAGCAGAATGGGTTTTAAGCTGAGATAAATGTCAGCATCATTTGTTAGCTGTTACTCAGCTATAGAATAACAGCTCTCCTACCCCATTCTTGCTTAATTACTTTTTTTCTCACCATTAATGAGTAGGTGAGATGGCTTCTGCAGGTGGGCTAATGGAAAGAGATCCTGTCAGATAACTGAATCAAGGACGGTAATGTTCCCTACTGTTCTGGGATGCTCATCAAGCCCCATCCCAAATACAGGAAAACTTCTAGAAAAAAGGGTTTGCTCTGGGTCAGTACAACTGACCACTTTATTCCTCAAAAGGGTTTATTTCAATTCTTAAACCCAAATTCCATAATAATAAGTGACAAACTAGAGAAGTATCTTCTAACACCAACCCCCAACAATCCAGAGAAGCCAAACATTCTCTGGACTAGCTCTTCAGTATTTAAATACACACACACACATACACACACACATACCTCCACACACCATGAGGGCTTTATCAAACAATTCTTTTTAAAGGTGAAATGTCAGAACACCCAAAATGCAGTAGAATTGTATTAGAACTGAAGTTCACAATTTTTGACATTTCAGTATTCAGATGTGTGTGTGTGTGTGTGTGAGTGTCAGTGAAATTTGCACAAGTAGACAGAGAAGCAAAGAATAACATCTCAACATTGAGCTATAATTAAATACTTTATCATAATCAGGCATCTTGGCACATAGCCTTTCCCCAGAGGTTCTGAGGTAAATATAGCAGATGATTTTGATCAGGGTAATAAACCCTTGGTTAATGGATTACTCACCGGTGAATTATTACCCCAGTGTTGATAATTTATAGTAGAAGAGAGCTAAATAGATATTCCAAAGTGAGAAAAATACCAGTATTGCTCTGAAGTCTAAAGCAATCCCATGGTCCGTAATCCCATATATTTGTTAACTAGTTGTTTTTTTTTTTAAACAAAACAAGATTTAAAATAAATTCAAGCAGTCATTAGATGACTTCCATTTCAGGATAAATACAAAAAAACAAAAAATAAAGTTCAGATGTACATTGAAATTTCTGGTTTCCCCAAAAGGCTCAAATGCCTTTCAAATCCATCCTGCAACAGGTCTTATCTTTTGGACACCCTACCTTTTTTTCACCCCCTTTCTCATTTATTTTATGTATCTTCAGTACCTTCATCACAAGTACTAAATTAAAGTCTCTCTTAAACTTCTTAAATCATCAATCAAAAGGAAAACCAGGAACATGGAGGGAGAAAAAAGGTAGGGATGTGGAGGCAAGTTATTACTGGGGAGTTGGCTGTGGCTAAACAAAAATGATCATTTTACTTCCAGACGGCATCATCGTCATTATGAGTATGATGGAAAAAACCTGAGAGGCATACTAAAACTCTCTGGCTTCATAAACACATAAGAATTAAATGGTTAACCAAAATGTTTTTTAAAAAACAGTAGTAAGAATTTATTGTTGTTGTTATCAATAATTTTGAGACTGGGTCTCTGTCTCACTCAGGTTAAAGTATAGTGGCCATCGATGGGTCCAATTCCACTGATAATCAGTACTGGAAGTTTGCCCACTCTGCTTCCTAAATGAGCTGGTTCATTCCTCCTTAAGGAAGATGAGTGTCCCTTTGCTCTTGAAGGCTCATTATATTAGTGCTAAACCCAGTGCAACGCTCAATCTCCATTAGCCTTCAGAACTCCCAGTGCGCACACAATACACCAGCCTTAGCCTCCCTGAGTAGCAGGAATCACAGGCATGTACCACCACGTCGGGCAAGAAGCTATGTTTTTAAAAGCTATTCAACTTCTTTCATCAATATTCTACTAAGGGATAAACTAATACACTGGCTATTAAGTAAGGAAAATTTACCAAAACCTTAAATGAACATTATTTTGTAAACAGTCAAGGTTTCTTCTATTTTACACCAACAATATGACTACTGGTAATTTCCATTCTCTATTAGCGCAGCACAAACTGAAGGCATGATAACATTATCAGAACAAGTATAATAGAAACTTATCTGATACAAATAAGAAACATAGTTAATTACGTGGTCATTTCCTCCTCCAGTGTCTCGAAGGGATTTTTACCTCCACAAAAAAAGAAAAAGAAATATTTAAGTTAAATTTAAAAGACACAGAGAACCCTGTTTAGCCTTATATATGACATCTTTTAAAATACAGTTATTTAATATCACTATATTTCCACAAGTCAAAACTATGCCTGCTCTACTTTAAAACTTAAGTGTTAGGAGCACAAAATCGGCATAGTCTTTGTTGTACGTACTATCCATATTATATGTATAAATTACAACAAGATGGATAGATAACAATAATTCCATTTTGAAAGAGAAAAAAACTTTTCTGACTCATGTCTATATAAAGAAGTTATACCAACATATTAAAACATCAAATGCATATCTGGCATTTATGAGATTGTGGGCTTCAGATCATTACTTAACATTATATATAAACTGGTTTTTTTAAACCACGATACATTTTGGTTTGGGTTTTTGGTTTTTTCTTTTCAGTAGGATGTGTGATATTGATGGCATAGGTGAGGAATTCCCATTGTGGATAATTAACTTTTTTGCCACTTAAAGTCTTAGAGTCGTGTGGGTCACATTCATTTACCCAGTTCTATTATATAAAACCTCTAAGAGCTACCTAGGAGCAGGGTGTAAGAGAAAGAGCAGGGTCAAAAGATCGAGGTTCACGTCCTGTCTCCGACACTTACTAAGTAAAAGGTCTTGGACAAGATACAACCCCTCTGTGCTTCAGTTTCCTTATCTATAGAACAAGATAATACTTGGACCATCTAGAACTCACATGGTTGTTAATAAGCAATACACGTACTTGTAACTAATAACTAGACAAATGTGAGTTATAACAACCCATAAAGGAAAGGTTATTTGTGACAGTGTAGAAATAACTTTTTAACTCCGAACTTTAGAAAAAACTTTGAACTTTTAACCCTTACAAGAACAGCATTGGGAGCACTCAAGTTCCTAATGAGCTGAGGTTAGAGAAGAGGACTAAAGATAATGGAAAGGGGGTTAAGAAAATTATTGTGGCTTTACTTTTGTTGTTCAGTTGTTTTTCAACTGTGTCAGACTCTTCATGACCCCTTTGGGGTTTTCTTGGCAAAGATACTGAAGTGGTTTGCCGCTGCCTTCTCCAGCTCATTTCATAAATGAGGAAACTGAGGCAAGCAGGGATAAGTGACTTACCCATGGTCACACAGCCAGTAAGTGTCTGAAGTCAGGTTTGAACACAGACCTTCCTGACTCCAAGCCTGGCACTCTCTCCGTTGAACCACCTAGCTGCCCCTAGCAAAGTTTGAGGTCCTGCTAAAATCCCTAGGCTGTGTTTGAGTCAAGGGCTGAAATAAAGTCTCTTGACCACAGAAACAAGTCAGTTGGCTAAAGCTTTGGCAGGAGACTCTTCTAGTTGCTTCAGTATGTTATCTACAGCTGGATAAAAGTAGGAATTTCTAGTTCTCTGACACAGGTAATAGCTACCAGCAAAGTGGAGGACCAAGGACACCTCCAAGACATTTTCATCTAGCCTTTATCTTTAATATCATAACTTTATAACTATCGGGATCAGGATTTTTTCCCCTTCCTTCATTTGATGACAGGCACCAAAGCAAAAGACTTTTATCCCTGCTATCTTACTTGCCAAGACATATATACATACATATATACAGATGTATATACACATACATATATACAGACGTGTGTGTACATATATATACATACATAAATACACACACACTCTCTGGAATGCTTGCTCCAAAATGAACAAACTTGCTTTAATCTTTTTTACATTATTTTATCAGTTACATGTAAGCAAAAATTTTAAACTTTCATTTAAAAACAATTTTTAAGTTCCAATTTTTAAGTCCCTCTCTCCTTCTTCTCCCCCTTCCTTGAGAAGACAAACAATTTGATATAGATTATACACATCCAGTCATGCAAAATATTTCCATATTAGCTAAGTTAAACTTGCTTTAATCTTAAACCTTTTCCACTTTCACTTCCTCCATTACTGAGTCCTGGCTCTCTCGGTAACACCATATCCCTGGCTACCCTTTCCAAGTATTGCTTGCATGTTCATTCATTAGTTCCCCCAACCCTTGCACACATAGGTACTGGGACGGGGTCAGAATACTCTTTGCTGCCCCTCCATTGCCATTCCCAGACAATTTTCCCACGATCTTTCAGCAATCTCTCCTCCTTTGAGGTCCAACTATTCAAACTTATCATCCAACTCAGGTCCTGGTGACTGTTATCTATTGATTCGCCAGGGTAGTTTTCTTCTTTCATCACTGAATTCAGTATCTGGCTCATTCTCTCTCTCTCCATCCTAACTCCCTTCTTCATCCTAGGCGACTTCAACATACTAACTGATGTCTCCTAAATACCCCAATCTTCCAATTCCTCAGTCTACTCAGATCTCATGACCTGCTCCTCCATACCACCTCAGATGCACACAGAGATGGTTATAGCTTTGGTTTTGCCATCAGAGTTGCACTACCATGTTCATGAGCTCTGAAATTCCTTGAATTTATGACAAACTTTTATCATCCCATCTTTTCCTTTCCCTTACAACACCTGATCCTGTTCTTCTTTTTGACCTTGACTTTGAGCCCCTCGGCCCCTTAGTTATTTCCCGGATGGTAACAATTCTGACTTGGTTATATGTTCCTTCTCTAACTCAACCTCATGGTAAGTTAGTCGAATAATAAACTATCTTCGATGTTCAAATACATTGCCCCTTTTGCTACTGCTTGCCAATCACTCCTCAACCTCAACCTTGGATTAGGACTCTCACCACCCACCTCCCTCAATCCTATTCATGAGCTCCTCAAGAGTCAGAGAAAATGACTGAATTTCATTGACTGGGTCCATGACAAATTTATGTTTCACAATCTCAATTGGACCTTCCCTGCAACAAAACAAACCTTATAAATCTCCCTAATTAACCTGCTGTTCCACTCACCATAGCAACCTTTCCATGCTTATCCCTTCTTGAGCTCTGCACTCTCTCAGCTAAGGACCATGCCTCATACTTTGAAGAACTGTGGCCATTCACTTCCTCTTCTCCTATCTTCCTCATCTTAAATCACATTCCTCCAATTCTTCCTTCACCTCTGTCTCAAATGAATATGCACTTCTTCTCCTTGAGACAAAGTCAGCCCCTCAACAAGTACCCTTCATCCCAACCCCTCCCATCTTTTCCACTGCATTACTTCTTCTATCATCCACATGAACTCTCTAACCTTCAATCTCTCTCTCTCTTTCTCTCTCCCCTCCCCCCTCTCTCACTTATATTGTCCCACCTATCCTTAAAAACCCCTCACTTGACCTAACCATCCCTTCTAGCTACCATCCTTTTTTTCTCTCTTCCCCTTCTCGGACAAACTCCTTAAAAGACCATCTATATTGTTGCTTTTATTTCCTCTTGTCTCGTTCTCTTCTAAACCCTTCACAATCTGCTTCTGACTTCATCATTCAATTGAAACTGTTCTCTCGAAAGTTACCAGTGATCTTTAAATTGCCAAGTCTAATATCCTTTTCTCAATCTTTAGCCTTCTTGAAGTTTCTATTTTTATATACTATTGATGATTCTCTCATCCTGGATAGTCTGTCCTTTTTTATTTTGTTTTCCTAACACAGCTATCTCCTGGTTCTCCTCCCACCTGCCTGACCACTTCTTCTCAGTCTCATCCAGTTCACACTCATTAATTAGGGTGTCCCCTAAAGGTCTGTCCCAGGCGCTCTTTTCTTCTCCCTCTGTACTATCTCGTTTGGTGATCTCATGAGTTCCCATGGGCTGGACTGTCATCTCATACAAGTCCCTAGATTCTCTGCCCTTGAGCCCCAGTCTCACATTAGCAACCGCCTTTTAGATATTTCAAAATGGATGCTCTCTAGGTATTTAAAATCCATCCTGTCCAAAATAAACTTCTTATCTTCCTCTTTCAAATCCTCCCCTCTTCCCAATTTTCCTATTACTACTGAGGTTACCACCAGTTGCCTTGTTACCCAGGCTCACAACCTCCATGCTATTTTTGACTTCTCACTCACACTCATCCCATGAATTCAATGTGTTGGATACCTTCACAATATCTCTTGTATATGTTCTCCTTTCTCCACATAAACAGCTGCTGTCGCAGTGGAGGCCCTCAACACCTTATGCTTGGACTATAACTATAGTCTTCTGGTTGGCCTGCCTGCCCCAAGTCTCTATCCACTCTAATCCATCCTCCACTTGACTGACAAAGTGATCTTCTTAAAGCACAGCTCTGATCATGTCATCTACCTCCTTATTACCTATGGGATCCAAAAGAAAGTCATCTTGTTGGCATTTAAAGGCCTCAAGAGCTTAACTACTTCCTGCTTCTCCACTCTTCTTATACTTTATTCCTTTCTATGTACTCTGTGACCTAGCTACACTGGGCCACTTGCTATTTCTCACACAAGACACTTCATCTCCTGACTCCATGTCTTTTCACTGGTTGGCCCACATGCTTGGAATTCTTTTCTTCCTCATCTGTGCTTCCCAGTTTTCTTGGCTTTCTTCAAGACTCAGCTCAAAGCCCACCTTCCTAAAAGATCCTTCCTGCCTGCCATTCCCCCCTACCCCCCACTAACAGTGACTTGCCTTTGAAATTAATTTTCATTTATCATACATACACACACACGTATATGTTTAATGTGATTCCTTGGAAGGCAGAGACTCTACTTTTGCTTTTCTTTATACCCCAGCACTTAGCACAGCCTGACACATAGTAAGAGATTAAAATGCTTGTTGGCTGACTGACACTTTGATCCTCTAGGGGGAGTGTAAATCATGCTTGGATTACTGCAATGGTTGAAGAAAAGTGGACATCACCTCTTCAGCATCACTGTTCTTTATCAGGTGATTGTCACTTTCTAGTATTGGGGCAGAGGTCTTCGCCAAGGGAATTCTGACATCCTCAAATTTGGCTCTATTTCCTACAATTTCAGTCTCTATCAATAGCACTATCATTTTTCCAAATCCCCAAGACTCAAAAATCTCAGAGTTATCTATGATTCACCACTTTACTCCTATATTCATTCTGTCCCCACAACCTATTTACTTTTTTTTTAAATTCATTCATCTGTTTTACATTCCTCCCCTGTGTGACCTCCTGGGCAAGTCACTAAATACCTATATGCCTCAGGCAATTCCATGGGACTTATCTACTAAATTACAACTGGGGTCCAGTGTGCATTGATAGAGAGAGCCCTCATTCCTGAACCACACTAACTTAATCTCAGACTTTGAATGCATTCACATATCTTCCTCCCTGTTTCCATTTCTACCTCCCCTCCATCCCCTTTCCACTCCCACCTCCCACCAGTCCCTCTTTACCTCACAACTAGGTTAACAGTTCCCTGGATGAAATCTTCTATTCTCACACTAATCTATCCTGAATTCAGCATCCTAAATTCATCCTGTTAACCAACTAATTTTGAAACACAACTTTCATTACTTTATCCCCCTTGTTAAAAAATAAAAAACTTTTAACAATTCCCTCTTGTTCCTACTAAATCTAAATTCCTTAATCCATCTTTCAAAGTACTCCATAATCTGACCCACTTTGCTCATAGAATCTCATTTCTCCTTGCTCCCCTTTCACGCACCTTTCACACTAATAAGACTGATTTCCCTCTTTCCCACAAATACATCAAGCTCATTCCTGCCCTCATGTCCCTCACCCTGCCTGGAACACCATCTTTCCAATTCTTTTCCAGGCTAAATACTACCTAGCTCTTCTTCTTTCTTCCATTAAACAGTTAATAAGCTCTAATTTTTCCTACAATATTGATGATCTGTATCACACACTTTCTTATTAAATTATATACTTTCTTCCATTACTGGTATAGGGTTAGAGTTCTGTCTAGAAATAGAAGGAATTTTAGAAACCATCCAGTACAATCCCCCTCATTTTAAAGATGAGGAAACTGAGGCCCAGGGAGGCTAAGTAACTTGTGTCTCTTGCTGTCAAGTAGGTTTTAAGTTCCCCAAGTAGAAGTCTCACATCTTCTAATGCACTATCCTTCATGGCATAATGCTCAATTAACACTTGGCTGTTTTACTTGGAAACTAGGTGGTACAATGGATAAAATGCTAGACTGGCAGTCATGAAGACTAGTCTCACGCACTTAGTAGTTGTGTGACCATGGGCAATTCAACCTCTGTCTCCCTCAGTTTCCTTAACCATAAAATTGGTATAATAATTGTACCTACACCCCACTGTTGTTATGAGGATAAAGTGAAATAATATTTATAAAGTGCTCTGCGAATCTTAAAGCACTTTATAAACACTATTTTTATTATGTTTCGATGAAAACAATAATAATACTGCCAACTCAAGGTGATGGGATACTTACTTGAATTACTCCACACTACTCCAGTAGTTTCATTTCTGTTTCCCATATTTGCAAAGCTATCTGTCATGTCCCCAAAAATTAGCATCATGAGAGGGAGTCCTGCTCCATGTATAATGGCTGCAGCTGTTCCCAGCACCATGTATAACTTATCCAGCCAATCTGAATATCGAAACTGGAGGAGAAAACATATAAAACAGGAAAATTAATTAGCACAGTTACACAGATGAAATCTTAAGTCTCCACTGAGTTCTAAAACTGTCCTTCAAGTTCAATTTACTTGCTCATCTTTTTTATTATACTATGTTATGAAAATGCTTGTTTTATTACCTAAATTAAAAATAAAATAAATTTTTAAAACTTTAATTTACTTGCTCATCTTTTCTCATAGGGCTCAAATGGAACAGGGCATAGAAAGAGAGAAACAGGATTTAAAATCATCACATCAGCAGTATGTCTCATAGACCTTATGAGCTAGATTCAAAGCTCTTTTCTTGAAGAAGTATTCCTTTAAAAAGTATAGACATTATTCTATTCATTTATTTTGAATGTTCAAAGAGGGAAAAATGGTTGAGTCCCTCTAACAAAGATACAATTTATTCTAGGCATCTGACTTAAGTTATAAAATAGCAGAGCTCGTTAAAGAAACCTTTTTAATATTAGACTTTGATTTTAAAATGAAATGGAGTAAATTAAAATAGTTGTCAGAATGACTTTTTCCATATCAGAGAGTCATACACTATGAATACATCGTTTATGTATCCACAATCTCTCCTTATTACAGAAGAGCCACATAAAAGAAAGAAAGGAAGGAATGAAAGATGGGATTATGAACTAAGTAGGAAGATTTAGGAAGCAATTTACATCTTTTCTTAGATACATCTTAAGTAGTTAAAAAGATCGAAGGTAGAGAAAGACCAGGAGAGCAGATTGTTGTGGAGCTGAGGGTGAATTCTGAAGCTTTATGATACCCTAATTAGGTGGTTTCTAGGCTTTGATACAGATGACAGCAGGTTGCCAGGATAAACAGAGATCTCAAAGGTCTATTTAAAGAGCAACTCCATGACTTAGTAAGACAAAGTGGTTATTAGGAAGTCAGGATTCAAGGAAGGGTAGCAAGTAGTCAAAAGCCCAGGGCCAAAATTTAGGCAACCATCATAAGGTACTACTGTACACAACACAGTAGCAACTCTTGGTGTTCCTTTACTTATTATGTGTCTCCTGGTATGGGATGAACCACTCGCCAAATTGAATTAGCCTGGGGGGGGCACCTGACTAAAGTGTGGAAAAAGCAAGGAGAAGCCAGGGACATTTCTTAAAGCAGGATGAGAAAAATTAGAGTTAAACACAATTTTTTTGTTTGTTTGTTTGTTTTGGGGGGAGGTAAGGATAGTTGGAATTAATTGTGAGAAGGGTACTTAAAGTATAACTAAGCATCTTTTTTAATTTTTAAAGTTTTACTTATTAACCTACCTCAAAATAGTATTTAAAGTTATGTAGCTTTATCAGTTTCTTTATTTGTAAAATTGGTATAATAATTGCACCTACCTTCCAAAGTCGTTATGAGGATAAGATGAAATAATATCTGTAATGTACTATATAAATATTATTATTATATTCAATTAAAACAATGATAATAATACCATGATGGGAAGCTATCTGAATTTCATGTACAGGGTACTGAAGAGAGTATCTTCATAAGAGCAAACCTCAAAAACTCAAATCTACGAAAAGTCTAAAAAATATGGCGCTCCAGGGGCTCGTCTGACACTGTTCTTACTTAGATTCTGCTTAAACTAAAAATAAATCATTGTTTCATTTCATAGATACCTTTTACTAGTCACAAGCTTTATCTTCATCCCTTTGTCTTTTCATCGGTGTACACATACCAAAGGAGGATTCAGATGGCAAAGCTCTGGGTAATGCTAGTCAGTCAATAAACAGTAGGCTGATAGAAGAGCTACGCACTTACTTTTGCATATTCTGCCTTTGATAAGGTGGTGTCAAATGGAAAACACAAACTTTTACTCTTAAGTAAATATTTTATCTACCGCCACTGAGAGTAGAGAAATGAGAAAGAAATCATTTCCTCCTTTTACTTCTCTTGACTTAGAAGCCAAGTCAAGTCAAGTCAATGAATCATCAAACGCATACTGCGTGCCTACTCTGTGCCAGGCACCATGCTAAGCATTGTCTTTCCTATGGTGTAACATAAATTACTGATGGGGAAAAGAAGCAATATGCCAGTCAAACTCTATCTCTTCTCAGAAGCAGATTAAATTCTGTGCACCAAATGACTAAAAATAAGGCATGATCAAGTTCTCTGAATTAATAAGGACCAGTGGGCATCTTTGGATGTTCCTGTTTGCATATGCTTTATGTTAATTGCATCAAAACCTCAGAACATTGCAGAGCCTCCAGGATTAGGCCTAAAACCACTTTAGTTGGCCTAATTAGCCATACTCAAGGGAAACAAAAAAAATGAATACCAATTGTTCATCCTATGATATCTACACAGTTACACTGTTTTTGTTGTCTAGTGGTGCGCAACTCTTTATGACCCCGTGGGGTTTTCTTGGCAAAGATACTTAAGTGGTTTACCATTTTCTTCTTCAGTAGATTAAGGTATAAAACAGAGGTTAAGTGACTTGCTCAGAGTCATACTGCTAGTTAGTATCTGAGGCTAGATTTGAACTCATATCTCCCTGATTCCAGGCCCAGCGCTCTATCCACTGAGCCACCTGGCTACCTCCAGACAACTGCACATGCAGACAATCTATAATACTTAGCCATGACTGCAAGTGAGGTTAGGCCCAGAATTGTACAGGAGGATGAAAGGGTACTTGCCTTTGGGAAACTGCAGACTGTTTTTTAACACAAAATTTCTTCCTGAACCAAAGCCTCATTTTTTAAATACCATTATTCTTTATCATTTAGTCATTTCAGTTGTGTATGATACTTCATGACCCCATTTGCGAGCGGTTTATGTAGCTCATAAAACTCCCCATTTTATTCTGAGTATAATATAACAACCCCAAAAATATGACTTAGGACTTTCAGACTGAAGCAGACAAGTGATTTTATACTATTATCTCCTCACAAATTCTAAAGGGACAAAAATAGAAAGCAGACACTGAAGCATCAACATGTCTATCATAGGATAATGGAGATATTAATAGGGAAAAGTCCTAACTTCCAGGGTTCAGTTAATTTGGTTATTATCTCATAACCTCCAATTACCTGTATACACATTTAGTAAGCTGCCTTAACAAAGGGCCTATGTTACTTCTGAGTTCTTCATTAAAGTTGAGAGAGATGATGCTGCTGTGTGAAGTCTTCCCTGCGTGGCTGATTAGGGTCTAAGTTATGGTTGCCATTCATTATCTAAACCTTCAATATCCTAAATACAGCAAGGAGCAAGTCAGGAAACATGCCAACAACACTCACAAAATTCCTGATCTCATCTTCAGGAGATCATCGGCTTACACATTTAAAGATGGAAAGGCTCTTATTTCATATGTTCTCACTCCCTCATTTTATAGATGAGGAAACAGGCCAAGACAAGTTAAATGATTTGCCCAAGGGAACCCAGTAAATGGCAGCTAGGATTTCAACTCAGGTCCCATAACTCTAAGTTCATCACTCTTTGTACTGCACCATGCTACCTCCTAAGACAAGAGTTACTCTTTATTAACTCTACAAGCTCCCTGCAGCAATTGGGATAAAAAAGTTACATGGCCTTTGTAAATCCCAGATACTCTTGGCAGTTCAGCATATAACTTCTGTTAAAGGAGAAAAGTAACGATATGGTCCAAAAAGTGAATAATTATTGATTCTTCTCATCAATATGAGTAACAAGGAAGTGGACTCCAACCTACCAAAGTCTCAAAGCTGTTGCCCAAAAAGAAAACTCAGCCATCACTCTTCCTTTGTGAGACTTTCTTTCTTCCCTAGCCCCATGCTTGGATTGATCCAGCTAAAGATCACAGTCCTGGAATCAAAAGAGCCAATGGAGATCACCTAGTCTCACCCCCTCATTTTACCAATGAGGAAAATGAGATTCAGAGAGATGAAGGACCACACAGGTAGTAAGCGGCAGAGTTGAGATGACTAATGATGCACAGATTTAAAAAAGAAGGTAGAGCTAACTGAATCACAAGTAACCAATAGGTACAGTGGTTAGACTGTTGGACTTAAGAGATAATAATAACACCTTAATTAGTACAATGTCTGATAGGGTTATGAAGATCGTGTCTCCCCCTTGCTTAATGATCTCCTGTGGCACCCTATTACTTCAAGGATCAATATAAAATCTTCCATTTGGCTCTTAAAGTTCTCTGTAACCTGGCCCTTTCCTACCTTTCTAGTCTTGTACCTTACTCCAATCCACACACTCCATGAACCATTGATACTGGTTTTCTTGCTGTTCCTTGTACAAGATATTTCCCATCACAAACCTCTTGCAATTTCACTGGCTGTCCCCTGTACCTGGAATTCTCTCTGTCCACATTTCTGCCTCCTGGTTTTCTTCAAATTTCAACTAAAATCCTAACTTTTACAAGAAGCCTCCCCTTAATTTTGGTGTTTCTCCCTGTGATTATGTCCAATTTACTCTGTTCGTGTATAGATGTTTGCATGGTGTCCCTCCCATCAGACTGTGAACTCCTGAAGGTATGAACCGTTTTTGCTTTTCTTTATATCCCCAGAATAACAATATATCTGGCATATAGTAGGTACTTAATAAAAGCTTGTTGATATAGCTCCACTGAATGAGAAAATAGGTAAGGTACTTAGTAAACCTTAAAGGGCAATATAACTTTAGCTATGATTATGACTTTGGCCACAATACTCTACATTCTGTAATTTTTATACATCTTACCAGAGGTTAAATAAAATCAATACAATTCAACAAGCATTTATTAAGTATTTACAATATGTGTACCACACGTAGAGCTAGCTACAGGGAAGACAAAAACAGTAAGAGAAAAAATCTCTGACCTCTAAAAGCTTACTTTCCCTTTGGATCCTGTACTTACGACCTCTCCTAAAACAATATGATCTCCAGCTAAATGCTAGCATAAGCGTGATAAACATAAGCATGAAAAGAAGAAAATCTGTTTGGAAATGTTTTCTATTTTGAATCACAAAGAGACCAATAACTCACCATTGCAAATACACTAACAGTTGGCTGTTTTTCTTTTTTCTTGCTTTTTTTGCTGGAAAAAAAAAAGGACCAGAGAAGACATTGATCATTCTACACTTAAGGAAGAGAAAAAATACATTTCAAAACTTAATTACTTAACTAGCCTGGTCATGGCAGAAAATTAAATTTGCAACTTAATTACATTTAAAAAACCATTGATTTCTTTACCAGCATTTGATGTCAGAATAGTTGTTTCTAGTTTACTTATTTTAAAGTAAACATCCAGAATTCCTGGTATATTTGTCATGTATGTTTCCCATAGAAGATTTCCCATATATCCTACTTGGAAGTTAATGTTCTATATCATATCACTATGTCCAAATGGGTGCAGCCTCAAGAAATACAGTTTACCACTATACAGACATATTTAAAACACACTGGAAGTTTATTTTAATTTAATAAAAATCAATTAAAAAGACAAAATTAGCTAGTAAATCATTCACCCAGGAAACAAAAGTATCACACCTTAAAGATTTAATTTTTAAAAATGTAAAATAAAGATCATTAAATAATAATGGCAAAAACCACAACTTCAGATTTATTTAGCCCTTTAAGGTTAACAAAGTACTCTCCTCACAATTCTGTGAGGTAGATCATGTAGGTATTATTATCTCCTTGTTATGGAAACTGAGGCTTTGAAAAGCAAAGTTATTTGTCCATTATACAAGTTAGCAAGTATCTGAAGCAGCAATCAAACCCAAGTGTACTGACTCCAAGTCCAGTGGATCTTCCACGACATTAGACCGCTTCCCTTTGAAAGTATCTAACACAATACCACATCACCCTCCCATCTCAAAAAAACCTCAACAATCTCAGAACAGCACAACTAGAGATGATAGAAGAAGAGGTAAAAGGGGGAGAGCTGAACATCCAATTTTCTGTCTACTCTGATTGTTGAATGCCTTGCTAATGCCTCAAGGGGAATCATATTACACTAATGCCTAAAACATAAATGGGAGAGATAAGCCAGGAAGAGAACAAACCACTTAAATAATTTAGGCCTAAAATGATTTCTCTCATTTGGAAACTTAGATGACTCTAGCTTATATTTTCTGAATATTTACCTCAAATATCTCTTCTTCCCTTGACTAATAGGGTCCTGATAGATATGAGATGTGATATGCGCATCACATAAGTCTATCTTATCCCAAGAACAAAAACAAACTGAATTGGTATATATGGACAGAGCTGACACTAACTAGCTGTTCCACAAGAGGCATGTCATAAACTCTCAACCTCAAGATCTTCATTTGCAAAATGGGGATAATCTAACGACTATCTCACGGGGTTGTAATGAGGCCCAAATGAGATCATTCATGTGTCAAGTGCTTTGCAAACTTTAAAGCACCACATGTCAGTTTTCATTAATAATTATTTAAATATATTCCTGAAACCCAAGATAGACTATCATACCAATAGAAGTTATTACTAAAAAGGGACAGGTCTATAAACAGTTGAAAGCTTTTTTTCCCCAAAAGCACATAAGCAAGCATTAAGAGGAGAAAGCCAATACTAAAAGAGATTCTTCATTTTTGTTTCCCTGACTAGGAAAAATATAATTATCTTCAGAAAAAATTAACTTGCATCATTAATTTTTAAAAAGATGTTAAAGTTTAAAAACTAGAATTAACAGTGTGTATAACATTTCTGACAAAAGGTTATATGACTCAGTTGGAAGAATTCTATAATGGTCCGATAATAACAACAGACATATGATGTTTACCACCCCCGATGGCCTACTTCTGATATCATCTCCAGGAAGCTCACCCTAACCTGTCTAGCTGAAGTGATCTCCCCTCCTCTAAAATCTCATAGAACTTTGAGTGTGCCACCGTTGCGGCATTTATCACATACCATCTTAAGTTCTAGTTAATATAATATATGAATATATTTATCTTTTCCTTTACTTTTAGCTTCAAAGAGTTTGTTGTAACATTGCTCACTCCAAAATCTGCCCCCTCTCCCAGCACACTGTCTTGCACTGGAGAGTGGAGTGGAGGGAGAGAACACTATAAAAATGCTAGATAAATGAATATTCAATAGTACTGAAGGCACCCAAAAAACTACATTTAAAATAATTGTAAATAAAGAGAGAGATGACATTACCAAAAAGATGAAAAAGATTTCAGTTACTTATCTTTGTTTGAGGTCACTATTTAACTCAAAGCAACAGATTACAGCTTAAAAATGAAAGGATGTAGATAGACTATGAAAGGGCTGAATAGAAAATTAAGATATTTATTTGTAGGTTATTTCTATTCTGTGGTTCCAACCACATTTTCCCCTAAAACTTCCTAAGTTGAATTTTACTAAATCTGACCTCAACTAGTTCTCTAGAAATATATGTTTTAAACATGTTTACAAAGGCTTTTAAAAATTAAGCAAAGCACTTCATGTGACAATTATTAGATTATAAATTACTTGAGGACCTTTCTTTGTATTCCCAGCACTTATTACTACAGTGTCTGGCATATAATATACACTTGATAAAATGTTTGTTTGACTTATTTACATCAGATGTTTTTCTGAAAATTATAATACATTTTTTTCAAATGTAATCACTTTAAAATCACTAGAAGAAATCACTTTTTTAAAATCTTTCTTTTTTTAGGCAATTGGGGTTAACTGACTTGCCCAGGGTCACACAGCTAATTAGTGACAAGTGTTTGGTCTGAGGCCGGATTTGAACTCAGGTCCTCCTGACTTCAGGGCCAGTGCTCTCTCCACTGCCACACCTAGTTGCCCCAAGAAACCACTTTAAAAAGTAAAGCCTGGTAGGGGGCAGCTAAGTGGCGCAGTGGATATCCAGCCTCAGACCAAACACTAGCTTGTTAGGGCAAGTCACTTAACTCCAATTGCCTAAAAAGTAAGCGTGGGATGATGAATCCGTTCACAAAATGAAGCCTCTTTCTATAAAATGAATAAAATCACCTCCCTAACATACCACTTTATATATGGATTTTTGTCCAGTATATTGGATTTCTTTGTGTAAGGTACAGGTGTACTAGAAGAAGCTCCATAATGCTTCAAGAATTTTGGCTATCTAGACAGAAATGTATCTTCTTTCACTAATCTTGTGGTGCCCACATTTCCAGTTCTTAATGAGGTAGGAGTTACTAGCTTGCCAAGTGTGGCTTATTTTAGCACAGGGGTAGGGAACCTGCGGTCTTAAGACCACATGTGGCTTTCTAAATTCTTAAGTGCGGCCTTTTGATGGAATTCAAATTTTACAGAACAAAATAAAAGGATTTGTTTTGTAAAATATGGATTCGGTCAAAAGGTCACACTTAAAGATTTATAAGGCCACATGTGGCCTTCAGGTATCAGGTTCCCTACCCATTTTAGCCTATCCATGGAAATTCCAAACTACAAGCTCATTTACAATCTTTATTCACGTTAGGTTTTTCTAATGTCATATCCCATGCCTTACTAACAATAGACATATTTTTCAACATAAACCTATTTTTTTGGTCAGACTATATCAATTGAGAACATATCTATAGCATTTTAAAAGGGTGAATCTTTTTATCTTAATTCAATATCCCCACAGACTGGAAGGAGGAGAGATGTGTCATAAAGCTAATTTTTGCATCAGCATTTTGTTTTTACCTTTACAGTATCTCAAGTTACTCTTTTTCTCTTGTACTCTAATAATAAACTTTCAGTATTACCTGAAAACATCCTCTCCAGTCCTGCCTCATTTCTCATCCTTCCTCTCACCACTCTTTGGCCTTAAAAGCACAAATACACTTAAAAACAAACCCTGTGCTTTCTCCCCCTTCCCCTTTAAGGATTTCTTCCACAGAAGCCAAGGATATTAGTCACCACTTTAAAGTAGCGTACCAGAGTTTTCCTATTTATATCATCCCCTCAGTAGATCTGAATTTCAGGGAGCCCGTGACTCTGCACGTTTATGGCATGGGGCTGTTTCGCTCTTGCTCAGACAGGAAATGACAAGTTCATTTCTAAAGTAATGCTGAGAAAGTTAAGCACGCTAACAAACATTCAAAGCTCTGGGTGTGCGTGTGCGTGTTCCCAGAATCACACGCATCTACGTGAACCTCTTTCCAACCACTGAAAACTATTTACAAAGGATGTTGATTGTGGTGTTTTTTTTTTTTTAAATCAAACTAGGAAGCAGACCTCAATTACGTTTTTTAAGACAATTTTATCGCAAGAATGAAAAAAACTACGACCTTTTGCTATCGGATTTCGAGTCCGTCTTGTCTTCGGTGGGGATTCCCGCCGATCCATTGCTTCCGCCTTCCCAACTCATCTCAACCTTAAAAGAAAATACATCGAGAAAATAAGATTAAAACCAATTGCTTTTTCGCGCTAAACTGATGGGAAGCACCCATCCTGTGTGGTAAGAACACAGAAAGATGCCTCCATCTCAACAGAGAGTGTGATGGAAAGTGATGCACGCCCACGCCGGCACCCGCCGCAGCTCGCACTTATTATCTAAGCTCCAGCCTCTCCCCGGCGCTTCGAAGTGAATTGCGAAGTCAGAGCTACCGGCCGCTGGAGAGACAAAGTCCAGCCGCTTCGTGGTGCGGCTGATCTCAGGAGCCGAGCACAGGGGAAGCCGCATGCTCACCTTCACGCAATTCTTCATGGAGCAGGCTTAGGGCTAGAACCCAGGGCTGCCCTCCGCCCCTCCCGCCCAGGCCAGGGCTGCTCTTCTTTTACAGTGCCTGGGGGGGGGGGGGGCCCAATGAGGGGCTGGAATGGGTGGGGGGTTCAACTTGGGGCACCCTCTCTCCGGTCCTCAGTTTGCTCACCTGTGAAGGGATCCCTGCCGCTGTAAACGCTAGGAGCCTAGCATGTCCCAACTTCACCCTTCCCCTCTGAACCACAGCTGGCTGGCTGGAAAGGGGGCTGGACTTTGCTCACAGCCGCTTCACCCCCAGCCTCCCCCACCACTCTGTGTTGTTAGCCCAGGCCCTGCTGAAGACTCCTGTTTCTCCTCTTCTTCCTCCTCCTCCCCCTCTGTCCGACTTTTCCAGGGGTTTTGGGTGTACTCCGTTCCCTGGAAAGCAGCACTCCGCAGGTGCAGAAACCACCACTCCAAGGCATGGGCCAGAGGCTCCTCCCCTGCTAGTGCGCTTTGCCCGGGCACTGCCCTGCGGCAGATGTTGTGACCTGAATGACTCCAGAGGCCGACCTCAGCAAGCACACCTCTGCCACCTCTGCCGCCGTCCTCTCCCCCTGACCTTTTAAAACCCCGGGACTGGAAGGGCTGCCCGTCCTCTCGCCGGGCTGCCCGTCCTCTCGCCGGGCTGC